AACCCCCCCCCCCCCCCCCCGCAGAACATGGCCCCGATCCCCTCCGCCCTCATCACGGCCGGCAGCGCAGGCCTCGGCGCCGCAACAGCCCGGCTCTTCGCCCGGAACGGCTACAACGTCGTCGTGAACTACGCCAACAACGCCGAGCGCGCGGAGTCCCTCGTGCGGGACCTCCGCGCCTCCTCCCCGCTCGCCGCGGACCAGCAGCGCTTCGCGGCCATCAAGGCGGACCTCTCGCGCAAAGACGACCTGGCCGAGCTCGTCCGCGGCGCCGTCGCAGCGCTCGGCGGCCGCCTCGACGTGCTCTTCAGCAACGGCGGCTGGACCCGCATCAGGAACCTCCAGGACCTGGACGAGAACGTCGACGAGGAAGACTGGGACCGCTGCTTCAACATGAACGTCAAGTCGCACCTGTTCCTGATGCACGCCGCCCGCCCGCACCTCGACGAGGCCGAGGGCGCCTTCATCACCACGGCGTCTCTGGCCGGCGTCAAGGTCAGCGGGAGCTCAATGGTACGTTGATCACCTATCAGCGGTTTCCTCCCCTAAGTCCCCGCTGCTGGGCCGTCTTTCCCGCCCAAGGTGGTCACAGAGCGGAGCGGAGAATGGATGCGATGGGCAGGGCCACTGTTCTAAGACGTAAACAGGCCTACGCCGTGACGAAAGCAGCGCAAATTCACCTCGTCAAGGCCCTAGCAATGGCGGCGGGACCCAGGATAAGGGTCAACAGCGTCTCACCCGGCCTCCTCTTGACGGTAAGTCCATCATCAAAGACACCACCACCACCAACACCACATCCATCCATTAGACCCGCGTCCGCGTGCCTACCCCCACCCTCTGCCCATTTCCCGAAAGACACATCGGCTCACTTTTGGCGGTGCCGCGCCGGCGACATGACAGGACTGGGGCCTGCAGTTCTCCGAGGAGCAGCGGGAGGCGATGCGCGAGAAGACGAGGCTCAAGAGACTGCCCACCGTCGACGACGTCGCGGACCAGGTGCTGTGCTTCGCCAAGAGCAGGAGCGTCACCGGCGCCAATGTGGTTATCGACGGGGGCTTGAGCCTCTGAATGGGCGCAGGACTATGGGAGATGATGGGGAGGGGCAGGCAGATGGAACAGACGTTGTATCCGTAGGGTCTGGTCAGTGACTGGCTGGTTAGTGGTGACACGGACGCGGGATGGATCTCCAGGCAGCAGCAGCAACAAGCACTTGTTGGCCCCCTTACAGACGCAGTAGCAGGCAGGGTGAGCAAGTTAAGGCCAAGGGCAGGAAAAAAATCAAGCCAGAAACCATGAATACGGAATGATGGCCAGGTTCTAGTGCCAAGGGTCCAAGGTTGGACCGGGGCAGATGCGAGCAGTTCGCGCACTCAGACTCGCAGAGAAGCGCTCGGATTGGCCCCCACCCACCCTTACCTACTGATGCGGCCTAGGTATGTGGCCTGCGTAGTCTCGGGTAGGGGTCTTCCTCCCACATCCCGAACCCGAAAGCCACGAACGAAGGGGGTTATCAAAAGGGTAAAATAGCAAGGCGGCGAAGTTTAAAGAAGAGCTCAAAACCGCTGTGTTTCTTGAGAATATCCAGTCATCCAAGTGCCGAAACGCCGTTTCCCTCCCTTTTCCCTGCCATGCGTGGTTGTGTCGTATGCGTCGCGCGTGTGGTTACAAACAGTTGGTACAAACAACTACCTCCTCGACATCTTCATGCACACCACTTCTTCGAATCACTCACTCGCCGACCTCCCTGTCCTCGCTCCAATGGATATACGAGACGATCCGCCATTTCCACGACTCATGTCGTATTGCCTTCCCCCATACGAACATCGGCACCCACATGATCAGGACGGCAGTCGCGATTCCCGCCATCGCCCCGAACGCATTCACGTACCCGGCCTGCTCGATCCATGTGTTTGTGTAGAAGGAGAGCAGGAAGCCGAAAAGTGCTACGAAACAGACCGACAAGTCAGCTTTTACCGCACGAACATTGGACGAAACAGGACAAGCATGGGATGCCGGCACACTCACACTTAAACCCCATTACCGACAGCGTCACCTCCCCGGTTATAGGTCGGTACGCATCAATGACATACACAGTTGCGATGTTGGTGCCCTGGGAAATGGAAAACGTCACTAGGGAAGAGAGGGTGTCAGAAAACGGCAGAGCAACCAGGACATGCGGAGCCGGGAAAGAGCTTACAGAGTCCCAGGCCAAGGGTGGGACAGATCCAGTGCAGTTGGTTCGCGATTCCCACGCCGTACAGGATAAGGGCCAGAGGCGTCGATATCATGGAGATGACCATGGCAGGAAGCCGCATTTCCGGATCCCTGATGCCGCCATTGCGTAACGTGAACCAGTCGGCGACCTTGTCGCCAAGGTGCCCACCCGCTGGGATACCGGCCGCGGCCCCAATGATGCCGGCGATGAAACACAGCCCGATCTGCCAAGCATCGAAGCCGTAGGCGGTGTTGAAGGCAGAAGCGATATTCGAAGACACGGCGACGAGGAAACCAACAGTCACGGCTTGCACCAACGCCGCCCACAGCACAGGCGGGAGAATGATCAGACCCAGAGGCCGGAGAGACAGCTTCAGCAGGCTCTCTCGCGTCAAAGTTTTGTGGAAGATTTTCAGGGACGACGGGTAAGAGTTCTTTCTCGAGCTTGGGAGAGCGTTTTCTGCGTAGCGGGGAGCGAGTTCGCTCTCTGAGCCCACCGAACCAGGCTTGTTGGCGTCGATGGATGCCATTCGGTTCCAGTTGCTCGCCTCGTCTCGCTCGTAGGCCGTCTCGGGGAAGGTGAAGAACGCAAGCGCGAGAACGACGCCGATTAAGGCCGCAGAAACCTCGTAAATCACTCTCCAATCATGGTTGATGGTGATGAGACTGTCAAAAGCCACTCGTCAGACAAAGTCGAAAGCACTGCAGATCCTGAAGCGAACTTACCCTGAAATCACCAGTCCAAACCCAACTCCTGCGGAGAGGAAAGAGGTATACAAGCTTTGGGGTCGTTAGCCGGATACTGATCAACACCAGCCGGACTCTATACTTACGCCATGATGGTCCCTCTTTCGTGCAGAAAGAAGACATCGGCGATGGAAATTGGGGCAATGGTCTCTGCTGCACCAGCACCGAAACCCATCAAGATCCGCCCAGCGAGAAAGCCGGCGTACGAGTGTTCAAAGATGAGCCATATCGTGCAAACAAAGTAGATCGTGTAGCTGGCAACATAGACTGGGCGCCGGCCAAACTTGTTGGCCATGGGCACCCAGAAGAAGTTGCCAACCCCCTGAAGCAGTGCGGTTGTCGTGAAGAAGTACGCCGTCTGGGAGATGGAGTACGACAGAACCGCATTATCCGTGGCCGCAGCCGGATAGAACTCCAGCGCCGTCTCCAGAAGAGCTATCGACGGGCCTATCACGAAGTTGTCAGAGACGATGCCTCGTGTATATGGCTGCGTCTGCCGACTTACCCGCTGCAAGAAAATTGCACATCATCATGGCCACGCAGATCAACCCCGCCATGTAGTATTTGTACCATTGTGGCCTAGATGGGTCAGCCAAAGGCCCCTGGTTTTCACGATCCGAATACCCGGAAACCTACCAATTCAAAGGGTCATTTGGGTCTGTGGAAGGTTTGGGGATCAAGATGATCTCGTTCGTAGCCTCGTCCCTCAGACGGACATTTCCCAACGTCCTTACTGGTGCCTCCTCCGGAACTGCATGTCTTGCGACGTGATCATCCATTGCTGGGCTCTGCTGTGTGTGTGTCTGTGTGCGCCGCGAGTTGCAAAGCGGTTGGAGCCGCCCTCGTTGGAGGGTCCCCGAGGGAGGATATGGAGACCTGAGGGAGTTGCGACGCTCTTTGCAGACGGAAGAGTCGGGTAGTGTCTGAAGACTGCCCGCGGGAAGTCGGGGAGTAGTAAAGAAGTGGCTACTCCCCGGCTCAAGGGACGGCCGCGATCGATGAAACAATCGAAGCCTGAGCTATCTGCCGTGTCGATCGTTCAACGTTGTTGCATCAAAGGGAGGTCTAGACGGAGGCGCGTGGCTCTACTGGCACCCTGCGCAGACACACACAAACGGCATAGGTTTAAGCTTTGCCTTGTCGGTGGAATATTGATTGGGTTCTGTGGGGAAACAGGGTCCGGAAAATGGCCGCCAGACGCGGTGATTCGCAGAGTTGCCGTGAGGATTGGTGACGGGTGATGTGTGAGGAGAAGGACGGCAACGAGATGGTGTCGACGAAACCAGAGGGGATTCGAGGACGAGCAAAAGGGCCACCCAAGGCTACCTACCTTGAATGTTGATGCAATATCTCAATGTGACGTCGCAGCCCAATAGAATTGAAAATATTATCCAGTGACACCTGGGATGAGTAGTGAGAGGGCTACAAGGACTATGGATGGGATATCTCCAGGATGGATGGGGATAGGTGACGGGCCTAAGCAGGAGATTGGCAGGCTCAAACCCTGCTCACCGATGCAGCTCACTAGATGAGGGAAAGACTTGGCGAAGCATGGGAAAAGGGAAAGACAGGGATTTAGACGCAGCGGCCACTGTCTTATCCGCGACTAAGGGGTTTTCGAGTTTAGGGGGCAAGTTCCACCAACAAGCCTTTCGCCAAGACATTGGACATGGTTGAGCGAAACATGACCAGAAGAAAACCAATCGGTGGGTTCTGTAGGAAGCACTAGCGTGGGAACCAGAACGGATGTCCTGGAGCATGAGCAGCAGTAGTGGCAGCAGGTGAAAAAGGACAGATGACAGACGTCGTCTCGAACTCTCGCTCCGAGATGAGATGGGATGGAGGTGACGCTGTCTCTCCCTCAGGTTCTCGGGCTTTTGTTCTCTTTGAGGGAAAGGCGGCGGCGGCTTGCTAGCCGAGGATCGATGATTCAAGATGGGGACTCCCTCGTGTCTCCCCGAACAGGCCCCGCCGCCACGATTGCACGCGTAAGATATCGGACTTTGAACAGGTCCAAGCCTTGCTGCAAGAGCCTCAAAGAGAGGAGAACTCGGTGGTGCATGAACCACGCACAGGACACAAGGTGCCGTTTTCGGCCATGTCCTCCGGTCGACTTGTGGCCTGGCAGCAATGTGACAGAAAAGGCTGTACATAGGGAGCACCGCGTTGTGTGTGCGCAGCAGCAAAGTGTGGCTGGTGCTCGATATGGGGTAGGAAAAGCAAAAAATTTGGCAGCACTGCGCCTAGCCAGAGTAACCCCGGCATGTCTCGCCTAAGGAGACGCGCAACGCGCTCTCCACGCATGGTTGTGAGTTCTGAGGTTGAAGGGGTATGGCATGCATGTTGCCGTGGACACACACTAGCAGACTAGAGAAGGTCAATAGTCCACACAAACAGAGATGGGACGAATGCTGATCCTGATCATGGTTTCTCAACCAGCAGCGCCAGCGGAGAACGAGCATTGGAGGCCGCTTCCAGGGCCGCCGGGTGGTTCCTGACTGTTGGAGAAGGTGGAACGGATGACTGCAGCTTGGCTTTCGTCCCAAGTTGCAGTGCAGAAGAGTACGGAGTACTACAGCGGTAAGTACGTAGGTAGCACGGCCTACGTGCATTTGGCCATGCATGATGCCGCGGAGACCGCCGTCCCTGAGATATGCACCGCGTCGACGACATGCAGCGCCGTTATCTCGTCACCTGTGGGCCGAGGGCGAGACCTGAAGAAGACGCGCAGACGAGGCCATCCTCCCGCCCTGGCCGTTCATGCCATCCATTCAGAAGGATTCTGACATGTGTCGACATATTGGACGACAGACAAGGAACGGAATTCGAGGCCCGAGAGTGGCCCGGGGATGGTGATGAACTCTCTTGAGTGGTGTCGTTCTCAGTCGTGGCCCTCCGCGGAGCTGAGAGTAAGGAGTGTTTCAAGTGACGTTTCCCGGATCTCTGGTGCAGCGGGTAGAGAAGAAGCTTCATCATTCAAGGTTGATTGAGTGGGCATGCGAGGTTTCTGTTTCTAAATTTCGATGCTCGGTTATGGACGCCGGCGTCTCGAAACAAAGTAGACTCGTCATGGTGCTATATCGAATGGAGCGATTCTGAAGAGAGGACGCGTCTGCTCTTGTTCAGCTTGCCCCAGATGTGGCCGATGGCCCCGTCAGGTAAGGCAGAATTCAAGCTTCGTGCCACGGCTCCATGGCCGGTGGAAAGATTAGGGTTGCCGGGATGGGTTTGACGAAACTAAAACGGGGGGTGGCCGCTTTCGTCATCTGCGACCAGCCAAGCAGAGGCCGCAGAGCAGAGCAGAGCAGCAAATGCCGCCCGCCTGTCATCTGAAGTTCCCGACTTGAGGTTGTCTGATCTGGCGCGGCGGCGCGCCAATGGCAGCTGAGAGCCGAGGGAGGGACTTGGGTCGAGTTGTGAGGATTCCGCCGCGGTGCGGGTGTTGGTGGAGGAGACGACGTGGAATCAGAGATGCAGCAATCAGATAGATGCAGGGTGAAAGATGAAGGCGGGGCGCCAAGCTCACGCTACGTGAGAAGCTCACACTAAGGCAGGAAGAAAGGGTACTTGCGGCCAGTAGGGAGCGGAAGTACCACCGCGCTACTCCACGTGCGGGAAAGCACCTTGACGGCGGATACCGCGCCTCAAAGACGCGCTGCGTAAGTCTCCTAGAGAAGGGTTCCATCATCAGAGATTTAGTGGACGACGTCCCATCAATAGCGGCTTAGTACACTGAAAATGATGTACCTCTGTACCGCGGATGGTAGCTAATCACACCTCACATATGGGTCCCTCATCGGAGGGTCCCATCGCACCATTCCTCTTCGGGATTTCCGGCCAGGCCCTGGGATGGCACGGATATGAGAGCCTACGTAACGCTCTTTTCCCTTTTTCTCTGGGTCTGAGGGACTGAATGGATGCTGGCACTGGCTGGCCTTGTTCACATCCATTTCTGATAACGCTGCAACGCGTGTGTTTCTTTCCCCATCAAACACGTCTTCACGGGGGATACCTGGATACCTTGACACCTTGACACCTTGACACCTTCCAAATGGACGTCGCTTGCCTGATGTCCACCCTGACGTCCACCACGAGGCTCACCTGCTCACAATTCCCAATGCTTCTTGCTCGCCGTCCGACTCTCGAGCGCCTTGCGCGTGGGGATTTGCCGGGGAGGGCTGCGAGGGACCCTGGATCATCACTAGCCATGTTCCCCGTTGGCTTGCAGTAGCGTACTTTGTACGCTACACGCTTCCAGTCGCTGCACTGCGCTTGCTCACCTTCCAGGATCACCAGACTGTTTCTTCTCAGGTTCCTCCTCCGTCGCCGGCCGGCGGAGAGGACCTTTCCGCTACTCGATTCTGAACATCCACACTCAAATTTGTTTGTCTGGGTCAAGATGCCTTTCGCAAGTGTCGAGGACCCCGTCCCGCCCGCCAAAGTGCGGCGGTGAATCGGACACAAGGCAATTGGCGCCGTGGCTTGCCGTATTGGCGCGCGTCCACGAGGGGCCACGAGTCAAGCATGTCGACTCAATTGACTTTTGCCGCAGTGCTCAGTGATCACTACCTTAAGGAACCTTACACGTGTAGCCGAGCAAACATGCGGCAGGCAGGGTCCTTTGACGAGATGACAGCACTTTGCCTGAGACTTCCTGGCATTCCAGCAACAAGAGACGGACCATCGCATCGACCATGGACCTTGAGATGGGTTAGAGTTGACATCCGCTGCCGCCGGCTCCAAGACTGGCTCGACTTGGCTACAGCCGCTCAAACACCATTGGAGGGACCTTCAGGTTTCGTCCACGGGGCGGGCATCACTAAGCGGCCGGCCTCCACGCCTTCCATGGGACATGGCTGGTCTGCGGAGGTCTACGGATAGTGGTCAAGGTTGAAGAGTCAAGGGTGCCTGCCGCTTCGGGCGATTTGCAGATTATCCGATTTGCTCCAATATGGATGGATACTGAGGTGCATCCATCCGTCCTCCACATGGGCAGCGATTGACACTTCGGATTCCTGACCTGTCCGGACTCTTGTCGACATGGCGATCGAGCGTCGAGCCTTGAGCCTCGGGGGGGCCTGCCTCGGGTCCTGTCCTGAGCTGCCATCAAGCGAGCTGCGCTGCGCTGCGAGCTGCCGGGTCGTCTGATGGTGATGGTGATGATGACGAGGATTGTCGTCGGCCCTTTCAGCCTCACAAGTGCGTCAAGATCGACAGGTGGTGTGCTGAAGTTCAGGTCCAGGCACGCACACACGCTGTCCATATATGCTGGACCCTGCCTAGTGACCGACGGGCTGAAGTTCACTGGCATGGGGGGGACGAGGACAGACAGATTCATCGGATCGTGGCCGTGCGCGTGTGCGTGCAAATCAAGATGAAGATGAAGAAAGAAGACACAAGAAACAGCAGCCAGGCAGTCCAACGATGCGATGCGGAAAAGCCGCGACGTCGACGTCGTCTCAGTGCTCGGCCGTTGAAGGATCCTTGCGACGCCTCGCCGGGATCTGGGTCCCATTCTCCAGTCGCCCTGCATAACTCCAGACCTGGTCGTTCCACCAAATGCAACCAACGACCGAGTTTTGGGTTTCGAAGCTCTGGCAGCTTGAGCCTTACCCTTTTGAGGAGCAGCGCCGGGCAGAGGATGACGAGGCCACCCCCGATCGCTGTCCTGTGGTCTCTCTTGCGCCGTGCGCCGGGCGGCTTAGTAGCGCATGTAGGGGCGGCCCTCGCAGAAAGACGCTGTTTGTCCGTCATGGCAATATACTCACCACCGGCGGTCGACGTACTTTGATGTGGCGCTGAGAATAATACCCAGAGTATCGTGATTTGCCTGACGCGGCACCTCACCACCCTCTCTAGGTTTCCAGGTTGCTCTCTATTTTGTTTCTATGGCCTTTTTGCCTTTTCTGGTCCCGCTTCGAGCCGCAGCTGCTCTTCTCTCGTCTGGCAACTTGCCTTGCCTTGCCCTGTCCTGCCTTGTCTTCCTTACCTGGGACCTTGGACCCTCGCCATAGTGCCAGTGCCGCCGTCAAACCCACGTCTGCGTTGCTCATGCGCCTCGTTGAGTGTCCGCACTTGCATCTCCATCTTCACACCCCCAGGGCATTTTCCCAAGTCCCAATCTCAAAGTACGTACCCTGTTTTTTTTTAGAGAAAGGTTTCCCGCCTAATTGTTCCTTTCTTTCTTCCCAGTCCCTCCCCTACGCTCCCCATACCTTTAAGGTACGGTACCTACCTACCTTACATCTCTATCTGCCTTACATTACATTACCTTGCCTTACATACCTTACCTGTCTTTGACATACCTTAACTCTCAGTCTCCAGTTCCAGTTCCAGTCTGAGAGTCAGAGAGCCACGAGTCGAGTCCGGTCCAGTCCAGTCGAAGGTCGGTTACTTTTGCCTCTCACCTTTGCCTCGCTATATCTTTCCACGCCTTACCTAAAGGTACAACACCTCCCCTACCTCCCCCTACCTACCTACCTACCTGCCTACCTACCTTGCCTTACCTTGCCTTACCTTGCCCGGGCATACCTTTGCCTTTAAGGTCTCCGTCCAATACACATACAGCTCCTCCCCAGACCAGATCAGACTGGCAGCCACCAACCAGCCCAAGGACGTAGCTGAACTGACCTAAGCTAAAGAAGGGATCAAGCCCACCCATACCTTACCTTAAGGTGCCTCCGACTACCAACTATCTTACACACCTACCGCACACGCCCCGAACATCAGGTCCTCTTCTGGCCTTGCAGTTCTTGGCTGCAGCCCGCCCGATTCGCGCCGCTGCTGCTGTTGTGCACCTACCGGTACTGGGCTGTCTTTGCACTGCACTGCACTGCACAGCGCTACCCTTGGCTCTCTCTCATTTTCCTCCCATCTCCTCTCCCGACTTCCTCCCACATCGGATCTGGATCTGTCCATCCTAAGGCCAGGTCGCAGAACTTTTTCTCCTGCTCCCGCAATACTTTGCTTTTCCCCCTTTGTCATCTCGCTGCCGACTCTTCCGCCCGTACGGCAGCCACCCAACTCCCGTCCTCATCCCCCCCCCCCCCCCCCCCCGAACCGCGTATTTTTACCGCTCCCGCTCCGTCCGGCGCCGTTGGCCAACATTGCGGCCAATAGCCGGACCCGCTCCGACGTCACTACCTTAATATCTTCCTCTGCTGGACCACCACCACCACCACCACCACCACCACCACTACCACTGCTGGTGTACCCTCGAACTGCAGAGCCGACCTCCCGGTACCGACGAGCAACGAGTTTGCGTTGCTGATTCCCCGGATGAATTCCTCCAACAATCTACCGTTGGCCTCGGGGCCGTCACCGTCGGCTACCATTGTTGTCTCAGCTCCAACTTTCGCTCCGAATCCGAATGCTCCCTCGCAGTCTGTCTCGCCGTCCCCTGGACCGGCCGCCCAACAAAACCAGCAGCAGCCTCCGTATCCCACTTCCGCCCCGGCCAACCAGAGCCACGCCGCGACAGCCAGCCTTTATCAGTGTGCCCATTGCCAGCGACGGTATTCTCGCCCCGAGCATCTCGCCAGACACATCCAGACTCACACTCTCGGCAAGCGTTTCGCCTGTCAAATATGCGGCAAAGCATTCGCCCGCCAGGATCTTCTGAAGCGCCATGTCACTAACCACGAGAACGACAATGACCCCAACAAGAAGAGACGCCGGACCGACACCTCGCCTGGTGCTGGTCGCGTATCCCACGCCTGCCGCCCTTGCGCTACCGCTCGTGTCAAGTGCGAAGAGGTCAAGCCTTGCACCCGCTGTCGCAATCGCAACCTCAACTGCGAGTACTCCTCAACCGAAGCAGGCTCTGCAGCCGCCATGCACCTCCTCCACCTGTCCGGAAACCCCAACAACACCACAACCTCCACCCCTGGCTCGCTAGCCACGTCCCCGTCCCAGTCCGCATACGACAGCAGCCCCTCCGCCGCGTACCAGCAGCCTCCCCAGCACCATGCCGGTCTACCAATGAACATGAACGGCCAAATTGCCTCGGGGCAGCACATCAAGGCAGAAGGCGGTCAATTGCCGACCCCGGATAACGGCATGGAACCTATGCCGAACGCTATGCCCGTCAATTACGAGATCGGCGCACAAGGTGTCGATATGGCTATGCCCTTTTCCGATTTTCTGCAGAACGTCATATACGAGCCGGGCATGGAAGCGTCGAGAATGGCCGAAGCGCAAGGTCTCGCCGTCTTGGACTTTTGCGACAACTCGAATCTGGAGCTGAACGAGGTGGACTTCGGGCTTCTCGATCACTGGAACATGGATCACATGAACCCTGGCTCAAACCAGAGCTTTACGCCGCGCACCGATGACTCCGTCGACCTGGTTCAGATGCGACAGACACTCGTCAAGGTCTGGACCGACTCTCCGTGGCAATGGGCGCCCAACAACAAGGACTCTGGATATGTCGAGCATGGCAACTTTTCCGTACCATCGGGCGACACCACCAGCGCGGCCTTCCAGCAGAGCCGCAGCAAGCACCCGAGGATCGTCAAGGACAAGCTGGACCAATCTGGCCGGGATCAGATCTTGGCCATCGTTCTGCAGACTTGCAAGAACGACGCGATCATGACGCGAGTCGCGTCCTCGTTCCCGTCGCTCGAGGTCATGGACAGCCTGATTCACATCTACCTGGCTTCGCACTTTTGTCAAACGTCTCAATGGATTCACCACGGCTCATTTTCCATGAACGCACAATGGCCGGAGTGGCTTGCGGTCGCAGCTTCAGCTGGAGCTACTCTTACTCCCGTGCAAACCTTGCGCAAGTTTGGGTTCGCTCTCCAGGAGGCGGTCCGTGTCACCATCCCGGCAAGGTTCGAGGATGCCAACACCACGATCAAGAACCTGGGTCTGGTCCAGACGTTGATCTTGGGTCAGGACATTGGTCTCTGGAGTGGCAACCGACGCAAGATGGAGATCGCCGAGTGTCACCTCATGATCCCAATCACTGTAAGTAATGTGCTCGGCTTCTCCGTCCAGGATAGGGTTGCTAATGCGCCAACAGATGATGAGGTATCGGGGCAAGTTCCAACGAGCATCGTACCCCCTTGTCGAAGTCAATATGTCCGATGAAGGCGAGGTTTTGGAGAGGAAATGGAGGGCCTGGTGCGAGCGTGAGTCGTGGAAGAGGTAAGCATGCTCCTTTCCAACCCGGGATACCCTTGCGCTAACATATTTAGACTACTTTTCCACTGCTTTGTGCGAGACGCTCAGACCTCCATGACAACCCTCACCAACCCATCGATGTCGTACTCGGAGCTCACTCTTCCCCTCCCGGAGGCTAAGGAGATGTGGTTTGCGAAAACGGCAGCGGAATGGAAGATGCATTACTTGGAAAAAACTGCCGGGCAAAGCAAACGGCCCCCATCGATCGGCGACCTATTCCGGGATATCAACCTCCTGGCGACCAACCGCCAACGCCTTGATTTGCAATTTGCAATCTCTATTTACCTGCACGGCTATTGGGCACTCATTCTCGAGTACCTCCAGCTCTGTTCCGTCTTGCGTACCCGGACTTGGCTGAACAACACTGGGGGCCATTCGGAGGAGGTGCTGCGCTCGAGACATGCCGAGCTCTGCAAGGACCTGCAGGGCTTCCTGCATGTCAGCACGGACTGGCACGAGATGCTTTCAACGCAGGAGAGCTTGGTTCTGCACCTCCTGATGATGAATCTGCACTTGTCACTAAACGACTTGCAGCTGTTCTCTGGCAAGGAGGGCGAGGACCAGGCTCGTCGCGTTTTTGGCGACCTTCGCGAGTGGTCGCAAAGCGCCGAAGCTCGCCAGTCTCTGTGGCACGCTGGCCAGATCTTGCGCCAAGCCAAGATGTTCCCTCCAGGCCATCTGAAGGACTTTTACGCTGTAGCCGTACACCACGCGTCTCTGGCGATTTGGACGTACGGAGTTGTGACCAAGGCGGTGGGCAACAAGCCGACGCCACAGACCGGATACGAACAGGAGAACGTCTTCCTCGACGGCACTGAGTCGACCGTTGTACACCGCTTTATCGGCTTCAACCAAGGTCGTCCAGTAATTTTAGGACCCATGAGCAGAGCAGGCGCAACCGAGGCTTCGGTCGACGACCCCAAGGCCTGCATGGAAATCGCCCACGAGATCCTCCGGGCCAACTTCAGAGACTCGACGGACACACATCCGCCGATTGTTGAGAATCTTTGTCTTCTGATCAAGCAGCTAGGGCACGCTGCTTGGGCTGTTGGCATGTCATGACATCTTGCTTGTTTACGAATATCATAACTACCACTTATTGTCTTTTTTACCTTCTTCCTTTTTACATCAATTGGCGGAGTCTAGAGCGGGCGGGCGGATGGATGGATACCCATGTACCAAAAAGCAATCCTTTGGCGTATTTGGATAGGGTTATGTGCTTCGTGATGAGAAGCTCACCCATCGAGTTGCATCAGTCTCAATTGACGACTTCATGACCGAATACTCTACTCCTATTGGAGGGCCCCCCTTTTGACATGTGTGACGTTGTTTCAACCCTCTCAGCAACTTTCAGTTTCTTCTGAACATTATGCTTAGTGCTCAGACGGGCCCTTTCCCCCCCTACCAAAGACCAAAAAAAAACCCTCGCAATACTGCACCTGCAACCGCATGAGGCAGAAGTCAATCGGACCCTCCGAACTCGTCTGGTTGGCTTTGAAACTGCTCGGACTAGCCCCACGAAAGACCTGCATATGAAGTCCAAGGGCATCCCAACTATATGAATGGATTCAGACGGAAGACCCCGTTCACCGACGTTAGCGAAGGCAGACTGTCCAACTCTGTACCGCAGGGGCCTACGCGGACTGCTCCGCTTAGGGGGCTTGCCTGCTTGTTCGCTGCGTAAAGGCATTCGTATACTCAGTACAGAGAGTGTTGTAAGGCAGGCTTTAGACTCGCCGGGATAGCCGGTTACGCAACCACACGCTCCATTATGATGGGCAACTTGCTTGCACCGCCTCCCCTAACAACTCGCCCTATAGGGCTCTTAACGGTGTGGGTGGTATGTGTGTCTGTGTGTGTTGTACTAAGTAAAAAAAAAAACGCGCCTGCCAACACGTGTGCTCCTACGTAAAAGAAGGAGATCCCAGCTCGTTGCTGCCCATATGCCGCGAGTCATATTCCCCCCTCCCCGGGATCAGAGCTCTTATCGGATGTGTGCTATTAGTTAGGCGTTGTCGGGTTGATGAAACAGCGAGAGAGGTAGAGACACAGAGGCAGAGACACACACAGAGAGGAGAGAGACAGAGACTGAGGGGGGTTAACCCATCCATCGGATCGGATCGGGTCGGGAAGAATGGGGAAGAAGAATGGGGATTTCTCTCAACTCTCTCTGCGACTGTATGCTCATAGGGTGAGCAGAGGTTTTGCAATTGAGTTTTGAGTTTTTTTTGTTCTAAAACCCCCCCGGCGCGGCGCGGCAGGAGTTGCACTCAGACGAACCCCCAGCGGCCGCCGCGACGAGGAGAGGACCCGAAACCGAAGCAGTCAATGCCTGTAGCTGGTTTTAGTAGCTGGTTTTACACTACTACGCTGTGTTCTTGCTGTTGTTTTTAAACACCGCAATATGGTCTCCTTCGCTAGTCTAGCTATTTCTCCGGCTTGGCAAGAAAAGCGCGCTGAGAGGGCATCTCGAACCGAAGCTGGGTTTCAAATTGCATCATAGGCCGTCTTTAAGCTGTAAGCTCTATTCCCTACCCTCTCCTCCCCTCCCGTTTCGAGGAGAGGGCTGTGAGCTTAACGATAACGGAGGAAAAAAAAAAAAAAAAAAAAGGGGGGGTTGCAGCTCTGTCCCTACTCTCTAGGTGTGATGTCAGATGCCAATTCTTAATTGTATCTACCGCCGGTCCTTGCGCGCGCGCGATGCTCTATTGGTGGCCGCGGACATGATTAAGTCCGCATAGATTGTGTCCACTGCCAAGGTCACGGTAGACTTTCCTAACCATTTTTTTTTACTTCTCGGGGAAAACTTTCCAATCATGGCAGATTCAAAAAGAAAAAGAATCTACAGCCCGCAGTACAGATCTGGTGCCCGCAGATGACCGACTGCGATCTGTGGGAAAGAGGAATAGGGGGATCGGGTCGGGTATCGTCCTTCCGGCCTTGGAAGGTCGGAAATGTGCGCTGATCATCTTTGTTCATGCAGCATGTATGTGTTCGTCTTGTCCGGACCCCCTGAGACCCCTGACGCAAGGACGTGCAAAAAAAAAACCAAAAAAAATAAAATAAAAAAATCCATGGAGTTCTGGAAGATCGCCGTTCTTGTTCTTGGGTCGCGTGTCATGATTCGCGCCGGGATAATCTATGTGAGTTTTATTTTTCCGGATCATCCAAGGCGCCCCCAAACTTTGTGCTGTCAGTGAGTGGGAGCCGGGTGCTAAAAAATCTACAGAAGACTGGCTACTACGCCTGATTCAGAGCCAAGACCCTATGTCGTCTCGACTGAATCGGACCCATTGTCCAAATTTCGGGGCTGCACGTGTGCTTCGCCTCGCCCAGTTTCTTTCACATGATGGTATGGTCAGGGAACCAGGAAAGTGAAAGGGGCAGGATTTTAGCCGCCATCGCCAAGGGGACAGATCCTAACACCATGATATCAAAGGTGTCCACTGACAACGGTGCCGGCAGCCGTACACGGTACGCCCGCGCAGATGCATCGTGCCTTGGAACGCGGAGCATGCCCCGAGATTCGAAAAGATTGTAGTCGGAAGCTGTGCCGATGCTGTTACGACCAAGGAACGAAATTTGAGACTCCATGGCGTCGCTCGTGCCGGTGGGAGGATCCAGCAAAGTAATCACGGGCAGTCCGGACACACTTATATCAGTTGCTCAGGGTTAGGGTTGCCAAAGGTCAAGAGAGCCGTGACATCCGACGTACTCGGAGATGAATTTTCCGTGGTTTCCGGGAAAATCCGGCCGCTCTATCCACTGCATCGTGATCAGGCCTGCGTTGTGCCTGCGTGCTCAATTATTCCTGTCGGAGACGATAGTAGCAATGACGACGACGACGACGACGACGACGACGACGACGACGATAGAAACCAAAACCGATAGAAATGACGACAATAGAAGTAATAATAATAGAAGCGACGACGATAAAAACGACGACGACGACGGTAAGGTAGAAAACAGCCACAGGAAAAGTAGTCAACATAGCGTAGGGAAAAATAGGCGGTCTCATGTGCAGTCATCTCATCTTCTCTAGAACGCCTGCATTTGATCCGGCCAAATGTGACATCAACCAGCACGAGCTGCACGGGGAAGCTTTCACGTGGACGGATCAAACCGGACAAGCCCATCTCAAAATCACAAAGTGAAGCCATCGCGATCTGAGGCTGCAGCTTGGGGGCCGGATTCTTGAAAGTTTAAACAGACAAAAGTTCGTCCCAAAGGTAGGCAGTTCCTGCCGAACCCGTTCGTTACCTGTCACCCGGTATTTGTCCTGCGGTGTGCTCCACTTTTGACCGGGAGAGGCCGATCCACCAGTCGCCGCCACGTGGGGCATCTGATAGGGATATCGTGCCTGCCTGAAAGTGAAGGGACCCTCCAAGATGTCCAGCTTCTTCATTGGGCGGTCGCACCATCCAGAGGCCCGCTGATGCCGTCGTTGGACGCGAACCAACGCGGCTCCGAGGAGAACGTCATCCGCTGGTTTCGCAGCGTTCGCATTCACCTGGTCGGCAGCTCACACGTGAATGTGCTGCGTATACTGCCTTGTGCAGCGCGTGTGTAACGATTCACGACCCAAGGGAGGAAATTTGCGAGGGTCGCGATAAGGGTGCAAACTGCCTCCGAGCCTTCGACGTTCACGTCCCACTTTCCCCCGTCCCGGCCCGAGTCATCCGGAGCAGCTCGATCGTGAACATATCTCGCGTCTTCATCAACGAGAAGTAACTGCTGCCAGGAAGAAGGAGAGAAAACACGATCACGATGGACCGCATCCTCCTCAGCTCGCCCGTCGAGCCTCGCACGGTGGCCGTTGTCGCCATGACGGTCGTCGCAACCATCTCCCTCCTCTCCCTCGCCCGACTGGGCCTGTACGTGAAATGGAGCTCCTCGATTCCCAGCCCTCTCAAGACCAAGATCCCGGAGCTCACGAGCGAGGAGATCAAGAGACTTCACTATCGCCCTGACCACTTCCCGGGTGCCCGTGACGTTGAGACGCCGGTAAGTACCTCTCTGATATCTCCGCGAGGATAAGAAGACTAACGAACCCTTAAGTACGGCTGCATGCGTGTGTATGAATGGGGCTCAACCACCGGCCCCAAAGTCATTCTCATCCACGGCATCAGCACATCCTGCATGACCCTCGGCCTCATCGCCCACGCCCTCGTCGCCCGCGGCTGCCGCGTGATGCTCTTCGACCTCTTCGGCCGCGGCTTTTCCGACGGCGTCGGCGACCTCCCCCACGACACCCGCCTGTACACAACCCAGGTCCTCCTCGCCCTCGCCTCCTCCCCTCTGGCCTGGTCCGGCCAGAACTCCATCAGAGTCATCGGCTACTCCCTCGGCGGCGCCGTCGCCGCAGCCTTCGCGGCCGCCTTCCCCGACATGGTCGAGAGCCTCGTCCTACTCGCGCCGGCCGGCATCATCCGCGCGGCCAACTTCGGACACCTGGCGCGGCTCACGTTCCAGTCGGGCATCATCCCCGACCGGATCCTCGCCTCCATCACGGAGAGCAGGCTGAAGAAGCCCCTGGCCCCGAAGCGGTCCAACGTCGTGGAGGACGAGGACGACCCGGCGGAGAAGCTCGTCGACGTCGCCGCCGCCGAGGCGTCCTCTCCTGACGGCGGCGACCTCCCCGTCGAGCAGGTCGTGCGTCAGTACATCTCCTGGATGGTCGTGAATCACCGCGGCATGGTCCCCGCGTTCATGAGCTGCGTCAAGCACGGCATCCTGACGGACCTGCACGACACGTGGCGCGCCCTGGGGAGGAGGAAGAAGGGCACCACGGCCGTCTTGATCGGCCGGGCGGACGAGGTCATCTTCGCGGAGCATTACACCGAGGACGGGCTGCCGCTGCTGGGCGGCGAGGAGAATGTGCACTGGAAGGTCATCCCTGGCGGGCACGATTTTGTTATGACCAAGAAGGATTTGATCATGCGCGAGCTCGATGAGTTCTGGGGTATGAAGGTGCAGGCGTAGAATTAACGATACCCAACTAGAGGCATGGAGCACACGATAGACACGGGATGCAATTTTGTGGCGGCTGTTTGGCTGCGGATTCGTTGACGTTGCACTTCCTTCAAGCAGCGGCACTCGATAGGTATTATTCACGAATCGGAATTACTAACAGTAGTAGTGGCAGTCTGCTTCGTTGCAACTCTGCCGCATATTATTTGTTGATCTTGATCTAATGTGTGAGGTTTTTGAAAAGTGCAACGGGTGTCTACATGAGAAGCGAGGGGTATTCTGTCCTGACATCAAATACTCAAACACGCAAAAGCCCACCATCCATCCGCCGAGTGGACAATTTCGCAACTCTAGCGATCGAGCGCCTGGCTGTGACACTATGTATTTTGTCAGTACAAATCTTGAATGGTTCGAGAGTAATAAACTTACCATGTGCCAGTAAACACCCTTCTTCTTCAACAGCTCCGAATGGCTGCCTTTCTCCAGCAGTCTTCCCTCGCCAAGCACGAAGATGATGTCCGCGTTTTGAACAGTCGCCAGGCGATGTGCGACAACGACCATGGTACGTCCTTTTCCAGCCCGTTCAAACGCAGCTTGGACACTCTTTTCGCTCTCGGAGTCCAGAGAGCTGGTTGCTTCATCGAGAAGGAGGATGTTCGGGTTCCTGATCAGTGCGCGGGCAATGGCCACACGTTGCTTCTGGCCACCGGAGAGTGAAACACCCTTACTGCCAATGTTCGTGTTGTAACCCTCTGGGAGGGATACGATGAACTCGTGGATTGAAGCATCGCAGCAGACCTGGTGTAGACGCTCATCGGTGACGGAGTTCTCATCCACGCCTAGCAGGATGTTCTCTCTGATTGTTCCTTGGAAAAGTGTCGGCTCCTGGGCAACCAACGACAGGTTCTTGCGGTACTCGTAGACATTGATATCCTTGATGTCTTTGCCGTTGCACAGAATGGCGCCCTTTTCAACGTCGTAGAAGCGTTCCATGAGAGAGATGATACTCGTCTTGCCACATCCAGAGGCACCAACAAGCGCAGCAAACTGCCCCTTCTCAATAGTCAAGTTGAGTCCCTTGAAAACCGACACATTTCGCGTCGGGTACTTGAAGTGAACATTCTGCAACTCGATTCGGACGCCGCCTTCCGTATCCGGGATCTGCTCAGTCACTGGAATAATGTCCTTGTTCCTCGAGTCACGCATGTTGATGATGCGGTTGGATGCCCCAGTGACTTGCGCCGCGTTGGGTCCGAAGCTGAGACCTTGGCCGGCAGCTTCAGCTCCTTGGATCACAGCCATGAAGCAGACGAAGAAGTTCTGCGGGCTGTACTCGCCGGAGGCCAACAAGCGGCTGCCATACCAGAAGATGAGAGCTTGGCAAGCCATCGAAATCGAATCCGAGAAGCCGAAGACAGCACTGGTCCACCTCGCTTTTCGGAAAGCGTGGCTGACATGATCCTTGAGGAGCTTCTCGTAGCGAGTACATGTGACGCCCTCCAAAGTCAGGGCAGAAACAGTTCTGAATGCCCCAATGGATTCCGAGGCAAACTTGGAACTCTCCGCGAAAACAGCGGCATTCATCTTGTCGAACTCGATCTCGTACTTGAACCGAAAGTAGCCTCCCGTTAATCCAATCGGCATGGTAACGCATAGAGCCACCAGGGCCAGTTTCCAACCAAAAGCAAACGCAATGCTGATGGCTCCGACAATGTTCAAGATTGCCACGTACACCATCGCCATGTTGAGGCCCAAAAGCTCTTCGAGCTGCTTTGGATCTCCAGCGACTCGAGCTGTCAAGCTGCCGTGTGCGTTCTCCTCTTCGTCGTAGAAAGATGTCCGTTGGAACAGGATCGCCTCAAAATACTGCTGCCGATATGTGGCACAAATGAAATGAGCCAAATGGGTCGCGACGAAGCCCATGAAGAAGTACGACAGACCAACTCCGATCGCCAAAATAACCCACATGAGTGACCAAAAGTTGCTGTCGCTGCGAATCTTATCAGGGCCGTTATCCGGATTGAAGACGACGATGACTTTGGCGAAAAGCCATGCCTGCAACGGAGTGCCAGCTGCAGCACAACCCGCGAAAACCACAGTCAGAATACAGAGGAGCCAACGACTTCTCTGCTCATAGAGTAGTCTGCCAAAGCTCTGGAACAGGTTGCGGTTGACAACCTGCGTCTTCTGTCGTATGCTGTCTGCCTCGGATCGCGCAGCGCTCTTTTCGCGGTCGAGGATTGCTCCCAAGTCCTCTTCCTTGTTGTCTGAGTCGCTGTCTTCCGTTTGGTCACCGAGCGAAAGTTGCTGAGCGTGCACAAGACCATAGTATACGCCTTCGTCGTTTTCCAAAAGACTTTCGTGTGTGCCTTGTTCAACAACTTTTCCTTTCTTGAGGACTACGATCCGATCGGCCTGCTTAATGGTAGACAGACGGTGGGCAATCGTGATAGTTGTACGATTCTGGGATATCTTATTGAGGGCAGCTTGGACGATTCTCTCGCTTCGGACGTCGATGGCGCTGGTGGCTTCGTCCAGAATAACAATTTTCGGTTTTCTGACGATGCTTCGGGCAATGGCGATGCGCTGACGCTGGCCGCCGGACAATTTTGCGCCACTGTCGCCGACTTGGGTGTCGTATCCCTAGATTAAAGTCAGTATGTTGGGCCGTCGAAAGGAGTACAGATAAGAAGAAGCACTCACATCTGGCAGACGATCGATGAATTCGTCGGCAAAGGACTCCTGGCAAGCTTCCTTGACGAGTTCTCGCTTCTTTTCCTCGGTTTCGTGTTCCCACTGAGAGCCAATAAGTCCATAGGCGACGTTGTTGAAAATGGTGTCGTTGAACAGGAATGGTTCCTGCTGGACCAAGCCGATCTGCGAACGCCACCACTTGACATCAATATCGTCAAGAGCGTGTCCGGATGTCGAGATTGAACCGGCGAGCTCAACGTGTGGACCGGTCTCCTCCGGCTCGGGCTTGCTCTCTTCATCGTCCGACTCTTCCTTGCCCTTCTTCTTGTTCTTCTTCTTCTCGGCCTCCTTCTTCTTGTCTTTCTCGATCGTCTTGGCGATGACATATTGATCCTGCAACGTGTACCATCGCTCGATAAGGCCCACGATGGTGCTCTTGCCCGAGCCAGAAGGTCCAACGATAGCTGTGACCTTGCCGGACTCGATTGTCAGGTTTAGACTATCCAAAACCTTGACGTGGGGTCTGCTCGGGTACGCGAAGGTGACGTCTTCGAAGACAATGTTGTCGTTGGCCGATACATGAGGTTCTTTCAATTCTCCCGTGGTGGGGGCGGGAGCATCGATGACAGTGAGGAACTCGCATGCAGCTACCATTGCCTTGCCGATAGCAAGCAACGGGGTGCTGATTCGCTCGAGAGACATGACCACAAGCATGACGGACATGAGCACACTACATTGAAGGTTAGCACGAGGCGACTGGCCGTCTCCTGAGAACCTGCACTTACATGATGACTTCGCCTACTCCATCGACTCGACCGTCAACCCAAGAATGAGTGCCGTACCAGAACGCAAGGCCAAACGCGGAGAACAAAGCAAAGAACTAGAAAGAGTCAGCCTTCAATTCGACTTATACGCAGTAGATTGACGCACGATAAGGCCAAACTGGAGGGCCAGTAGAGGGGCTGTGAATTGACCCTTCCGTTTCGCCTGCTCGACAAAAACTGCGTAACGGGCAGCAATACGATCTTCCGCGCCGCACGCAGTGACCATTCGAATACTGGAAAACGCTTCACTAGCGACAGCAGATGCCTTGCCCTCTGCTTTGGTCATTTCAGAATGACCCTTGATGATGAAAGGCAGAAGGGCTCCCAGAACGACCAGAATGAACAAGATGCAAGAGGCGGTAACCAGTGTCAAAGCCCAGTTATAGGTAAATGCGATAACGATGGCGGCGGTGATGGTGCCGTTGAACTCGAGGAAGACTCCAAGCTTTTCGGAGATACCAATCTGAAGAGTGTTTGCAGTGGACGTGCTATGGAGGTTATGTTAGCTTGGCCCTCCGTTTTCCGGGTGCAGCACCCCGCTACCAAGAGGACTGGGGCTCACTAACATGGTGCTCGATGCCATGCCTGGTGGCATTGAATCAAGGACGTGAATTGTTTGGCCAAATAGTCGTTGCAGGTAGTGGAGGCGGATTGCAGACGACAACCGGATTCCTATCATTCGAAAGGCAAACTTGTTGGTATAGTTGAGAGCGAAACGGGCGAGGAAGAGAATGAATAAGTACAGCGCCTGGCGGTCTGCGGTCTTCCTGAAGTCGTTCCGTGCGGCCTCGTTTTCTGCTGAAAATGCATTGAAGTCGTTTACAAGCTGTCCAAAGATGACTGTGTGCTGCATTAGAGACCAGAAAGAAAGGATTATGGTGAAAGCACATCTTACTATTCATCAGAGGCAGCGTGATCCCGGCGGCGATGGAAGCCAAGCCGCCGACGATGTACGCCAAGATGTCCCATTTCGTGGCGTATGTAAAGACGCGGGCGTAGTCTTTGAAAGCAGGTTCTCTCTCAGGTCTAACCTTGGGTTCGGGCCTTGGTTCTGTATCGTTGCTTTTGGCAGATTGGTCGAAATCCTTCTTTTCGTCCACGACGGCCACGACGGGCGGAATACTGTCCGGCTGGGCGGTATCCTTATTGATAGCTTCCATGCTAGGCTAAATTCGTCGGGCAATTCAAATTGACATGTTCTTCGACGAAGAAGAAGTCGAATAGAAGGAGAGAACCAGGATCGGTATGCCTATGGTTGAAATGTGAAAGAAGGAAAGAATTCGCTGATTGGGTGAAAGCGAGCTATACGCGTAAAGCAATTGGCCGGTACCTAGGGTCAAAGAGCGTAAAGGGAGAAGGAGCCGAGAGCTGGGATGCGAGAATGGTCGAGGGGAGGAGGATTAAAAACAACAAGACGTCGTCGGTAGAAGATGACACCACAACTTCGCGGAACTCATGTTCGATTTTTGACGACCAGGCTTGGCTGCCACGAGTCCATTACATGTATTATTCGTTCCTTCTCATTCTCAGTCTCCCGCAGTAACTCGTAAAACTGCACGTCTCGTAAAACATCCCGAAGCGGTTAAGGCCAATCAGGATGCCTTGAAATGGCAACGCTGTAGGGATGCCGGCCGGGGGCCAACGGTAGTGGAGGGATCCTGGAAGTCAGCCGGACCCATATTTGACCCGTCCAGGAATGGCCCAAATGGACGGACGGGCGGTGCACGCGCCAACGACTGCCGCGCTAGGGGTTCGCCCGAGTTTAATTGGAGTCTCCTTCGTCCTCCGCAACGAAGGGACTTTGTCGCGTGGATGGAAGCGTTACATGCCTCCCACCAGTTTTGCATCATGGCATGGGCAGCGGAGCAGCGGACTTCACCAGATTCCAGATCTACGAAGAAGACGCCTTGCGGACTTTGCATCTACAAAACCAATCATGCGAAAAGTAGGTCTGGAGGTGGAGGCTGCAATCAGGCTTACGACCAAACCTCAGAACGGCGTCATTTCAGCCTGTGTTCAGCGCTTCCAACACACCACTTCCAGCGGCGATGTATCTCACTGCAACAATTCATGTCGCTAGTGCTCCAGGCAGGTGCAGGTTTACTTTGTTTATCTGGGATGAAGACAAGCCTCATGTCTCGCAGCTGCTTAGCGTCGTAAATCCACCTTAGCGTCGTAAAACATGTTGCTCGAAGTTTTACGGGCCGTGCGCACTCCATGCTTCATGGCCACCCAAGCCACCTCAGTTCCTCTTCCGAAATCAATGTAAGGACGCTGAAGTGGCCACATGTCATCGAATAACACCACGTACAATTGGTGCCTCAGTGACTCATCTCCGCCGCTGGCGGTGCTCGATCATCTTGAATCAGCTTGCACGTGGTTTGTGACGAATTTGACTGCTGCTGCCTGATCTGCCTGCTGGGCGTTCAGTGTTGGCATGAAATGTGTCTTACTGTTGCAGACTCTGACGACTGAACGACTCCGATTCCAGCCGCTCGGGAGGCGCTAATCTGACCCCGAACCCCATAGGTAGACACCGAGATGCGGCCCCGCTAAATCTGTCCGGTTCCCCATCTTACCGCGTGGTGTTCTTCCCATGTCGGGTTCGGACTGCTCAAGAACACCGACTGATCCCGACAAGAAACGGCCAAATGTGGGCACACCCGAATACTCGTACCGACACCACCCATTGTAGTAGTCCTAGAAGGACTCACTGTAGGACTAGAGAGTTCAGGGCTGAACCTTAACCACGACAACATGCGGCTGTAGCTTTCTTCAGTCGATGATCTATGAAATGAACATTATCGTACATCTCGTCTCTGTCGATGGAAAGCAAACCAAAAGGAGCAATTGTACCCGACAAGTTTAGAATCTCACTGCGACGAATGAGAGCAAGAGTTCCGCACCGTCCCAAACGTACCGCAGTACACTCTTTACCGCAGCACTTGATGAACAGTTCCTGTGGTTTGTTCAGACGAAGAATCACCCACCATGGCACCTGCCGAAGAATGTCCGATTGCTTGCAGCCTTATCAGATTGACAGGGATCTGCCATCACTTGCAGGACACATCATTGGGCAACCCACAAGTGGGCATATCCCAGTCCACTCACAGCCTTGCATGCATTTTTGACCTCACAAACCCCCCCAAAACTCGTCGCAAGTCATTCGGCCCCTCCAAAACTTGCGATTGAGTCACCAACACGATCCCTGGGCCGCTTTCCTTTTAAGACGGTTCCCCTTTTGCGCAACGCTCGAGAAAGCCAGGTGAATGAAGATCCAGCTGCAAATTTTCTCGAGGTCTGCCAGACCGGTCCGCCGACTGACTCTTCTTTCTAAAAACCCGTTTTCAACCCCTCTTTTGCCCGCGGGCCGCCCCATTCGTCGCGACTTTTCCTCCTCCGTACCCGTCTACCAAAACGAAGACCACCAATTGCCCGACATGGCGCCCAAATCCAAGTTTGAGCTCAAGACCCCGAAGGGCACCAAGGATTGTTAGTCGATACCGCTGTCGCCTTCGCGCCGCCAATCGTACGACCCGGACTAATATTTTGTGTTGATTCAAGGGTTCGGCAAGGACATGATCATTCGCGAGAAGATCTTCTCGCAATTGAAGGATGTCTTCCAAAAACACGGTGGAATGGAGCTTGATACCCCTGTTTTTGAGTTGAAGGAGATTCTTTCAGGCAAGGTACGACCCGACCTTCGCATACTCCCCTCCCCCCACCACGGAGGGTATATGCGAACCCCGCGATCCACTTCCTCCGAACACCCGGGGCCGATCTTGATACTAAACAATACTTCTCCTATAGTACGGTGAAGACTCGAAGCTCATCTACGACCTGGCCGACCAAGGTGGCGAGATTACCTCCCTGCGATACGATTTGACCGTCCCCTTCGCACGATGGCTCGCCATGAACAAGGACATCCAGAGCGTCAAGCGCTACCACATCTCGAAGGTCTACCGTCGGTACGAACTACCCAGGCTATGATCAATTCTGTTGGCAACAGGCTAACCCATAACAGTGATCAGCCCGCCATGAACAAGGGCCGCATGCGCGAATTCTACCAGTGCGATTTCGATATTGCTGGCACCTACGATTCGATGCTCCCCGACGCCGAGATTATTCGCATTGTCGTCGAAGTCTTTGAAGGCCTTGGTTGGAACGGAAACTACACCATCAAGCTCAACCACCGCAAGATCCTTGACGGTATTTTCGAGGTCTGCGGTGTTCCCGAGGACAAGATCAGGACGATATCTTCCGCCGTCGACAAGCTCGACAAGCTGCCTTGGGCGGACGTGCGCAAGGAGATGACTGAAGAGAAGGGTCTCGACGGAGAAGTCGCCGACAAGATTGGCGAGTGGGTTGTTCTCAAGGGCAAGCAGGATCTGCTCAGGAAACTGCAGCGCGACGATAAGCTGTCTGCGAATGCCTCTATGAAGGCCGGCATGTCCGACTTGGAGATGCTCTTCAACTACCTCGAGGCTTTCGGTGCTCTGGACAGAGTGTCATTCGATCTCTCTCTGGCTCGTGGTCTTGACTACTACACGGGTGTCATCTACGAGGTCGTCACAGAAGGGTCTGCGCCCGCCGCCACGCCTGGCGCGGACGACACAACAGTCAAGTCCAAGAAGAAAAGCAAGAGCAAGGATAAGGACGATGAAGATCGCTCAGATGATCCCAGCGTCGGTGTTGGCAGTGTTGCTGCCGGCGGTCGGTACGTTTTTCAAGGTTCTCCTTTGCATCTTGCATCTTGCAGCATGCAGCTAACGGCTCGACAGCTATGACAACCTCGTGGGCATGTTCTCCGGAAAGACCCAGATTCCGTGCGTCGGAGTAAGCACGTCTTGTTCTAGAAGCACACTGCATGATCACTGACATTGTTCTAGGTTTCCTTCGGCATTGAGAGAATCTTCAGCATTACCAAGGCCCGCATGCAGGCCGAAAGCGAGGCCCCCCAAAGCACCGTGGACGTCTTCGTCATGTCTCTGGGTTCCAAGGCCGGTCTGATTAAGGAGCGCCTCGAAGTCTGCTCCAAGTTGTGGGATGCTGGCATCAAGGCCGAGTTCCTTTACAAGGTTAAGCCCAAGTTGCCCAATCAGTTCAAGGCTGCTGAGGCCAACGCGACGCCGTTCGCTGTCATCCTTGGAGACGAGGAGGTTCAGAAGGGCGTTGTCAAGATCAAGGAGTTGGGTCTTCCTGAAGGCCACCCCCAGAAGGATGGCGAGCTCGTCGACATGGCGGCGCTCGTTCCCGAGGTGCAGAAGCGCCTGCAGAGGAAGCGCGAGTTGGACAACCTCGCCCGGGGAGCTGAAGGTCTGAGAGTTGTTGGAGGACTCAAGGGTGAGGCTGTCAAGAGCGCTTCGGCATCTGAGGTTGGCACTACTGTCGAGAAGCCGGCCGAAGCTGTCACAGAGGAAGCGAAGCCCGAGGAGGCGAAGCCCGCAGAGGCGGAATCAACGGAAGAGAAGCCGGCACGGAGCGCATGAATGATGGCATTATCAGCGAGTTAGCAAGTAAAATAAGATAGAAATCTCTTCGATGACTGGCATCGCCAGAACTCCCGTCTTCCGCTACACTACATGTCTTGTGCTTCCAAGGTCTACGTCGTGAATGAGCCAGTACTGGCCTTCCTATAAAAGGGTAACAACACAGGTGAGACCGACCAACCCTTCAATTAGCAGGAGTTATCTCTCGGGAAAGGAACTGCCAATGCCAACAAAACTCGTTCACTGGAAAATTTCCGATCTATCGACTGGAGCGTTAGTGCTGCAACAGCCGTGGCTCTGAACTTCTGTTATGCCAGAAATGCTGCCATGATGCACATCCCGTCACTCGTCCTGTCATCCTCAGCTGTTGCTTCTGATCTTGAACTACAATCCATCGCTTCCCATAACGGAGTTAACATAGGAGATGTTGCTGATTCTGGTGTTATTTTCGGGAGACCGTCTATCTTTCCTGCACTAGATTGACTACTTGTCCTGTAGCAATAGACTCTGCCTCGCCGTCTTCTTCGTCTTCTTCGTCTTCTTCGTCTATACTATTATTATATCCAATATTGTCGTCATCAATTAGAGTTGTACAGTTTACAGGAAATATAACCGCGCAGACATTGGAACATTAGGCGGTCTCATTCTGTCCCTCGAACAACTCCCGCCCAAACCAAGCAATAGCAGATACCAAATAGCCTCCGTCAACTAGGCCACCTTTGGGACGCACATCTCGTTGCTCACCCGGTCACTCATCAAGGTAGGATTTCAACACTAAGGGGCCCTATCTCTACGTACTCTCAACTAACAGAAAACATCGGCAGCCAACTTGAAGCTCGCTTGCATGCACGATACCGCTCTTCCACTCTAGCATGGCAGTCTGGCATGCCTCATACGCAACATGCTGGCCAGAATATTAGCGAAACCCATCTAGCGACGAAATACCCCACGGTAACATCGAACGGGGGTCCGGGACAAGTCGCCTTGCGAAACACGCACTCGCCCACCCACCGGCTCCGGACTTGGGAGCGTTACGCCATCATGGACAGTTCCACCCCGCGGCCCCGGTCCGGGGTGGGAACGCTGTTTCGACTTTACTATCTCGTTCCTTGCTGGTGTTGCAAGGGCACAGCGTCGAGGTCGCCGATAATCAACACGCACATGCACATCCAACCCAGGCGAAGGAGAACCCGCGAGGAGCCGTCTCTTATCAAGCTTTTCTATTTGGCCGCGACTAGCATTTAGCATCTTCAGGTGAATCGTCCAGAAAGATCCGCGAAGATCGCCCAGGTCCTGAAGAGGGACTTGCATCGATCAGGGAGCTGCTTCTATACCGCACTGGGGTCCAGCTTGCGAGGGAAAAAACGTCGATGCTCTCGGACAAGTTCACGTCAACGCGTCGGATGGCACGCATCTAAGACGGCACGGGGAAGGGGGGATAGTCCGACGGTTCAAGCCCGTCGCTGTCGGCACCCTGGTCTAATCACCGTCACATCATGTCAACAGTGGCGTTTGTAGTTTCTTTGACCACCACGTGGGGGGAGGGAAGGAGGGAACGGTAACAACGACGAGAGACAATGGTGCAAGCAAAAGCACGCCAGCCCCGAACCAACCAACACAAGTCCCCTATTTCCCTCTCACATCATCAAGCCCAAGCTGTCTAGCTCCGAACGTAACGACGGGATTGTCAGGCACACGAGGGGCGGGCACTGGGACGACGCTCTGGTCGTCGCACCAAGGAGCCGCTAGTCTCTCAAGTCCCCAATCCAATGGGGTCGCGACGCGACGAAGCCTCGGCTTGCTCAGGCTATCTGTTTTTTTTCTCACCTCTCGTCGCCCGTTGCGTCTGAGAGCTAGAGGAAGCAGGACTTGATGCGGGAGATTGGATGTACGCGTTTTTAGACAACTAGTTCGTTCACCCACAAAAAGCTGATCGCGCGTCGTGGTTGATGAAAAGGATCTGAGATTGGCAGGACGAGAAAAGAAACACGTCGAGGCCGAGGTGGTGGAGATTGAGATCACCAGAGATTAGGTTGTTGGTGCTGTGTGTGGGTGCATCGCGCAAGAAATGTCATCATGCTATCTCTTGCCTCTCGAAGTTATCGTCTCTGTCGCATTTTCGAGTCTCTCTTTTACCCCTCATCCAAACCCTGGCCCCAACACTGGTGATAAGCAAATCTGTGGAGAGCAACGAGGGCCCGTTGCAACGTCCCCGGCTTGAACCCGTGATCCCCGCGACAGGGTGTTGGAGCCAGGATTGGGAGGATAAGAGCAGGAACTATTGCTTGGGTTGGAAGGTATTTGCCAGCCTCGTTCAAGCGCATCACAAAAGCAGAAATGATCGATAGCAAAGCCTTGCAGTTGAAGAGTAGATCGACGACGCACGAATGGACTGATTGATGGGTGAAGGATGGGTGATGTGGTGTGGTTTCCGTGGGCTACTACTGCACGACGAACCGAGCCTAGGTGCATCAACAAGCGGTCTGAACTTTTCTTCTCTGGGGTTGTCTGCTGTTAGTTCTTTTTGTCCGTTGTCGTAACGTTGCTGGCGCTTCTTGCTGTCTTGCCCCAGACATTCTAGACGCATTTATTTCGTGTCCTGTCTGATAGTTCGACTTGCTGGCGTCTGCACATGATGCATCACGAATACGTATATGCCAGTCTCAGGCACTCGAGGCTGCCGTCTGATGTGCGAAGCTTTCGCTCATTGGAGCCAAGCTTCTCGAAGAACTCAGGTCTGGCGTTTTACCTTACGGTGAGGAAGCTTAGTGCGAAAGGAAAAGCAGGTACGCGGGGCACAGACCTCGGGAGTGCAGCTGGAGTGCAGCTGAGTGCGACTGTGATTTGAGTGATTGGAGGCTGTGAGGTGCATGCCGTCTGGAGTTTTCTTGCTGTCTGGAGATCTGTGCGGAAGAAGCTTACAGCTTGACGGCGTCGCCCTTTGGTGTGGGATGTTTCGTTTCAGTCCGTTTTCGATGATCCGGAGTCCGTGAGGTGAAGCGTGGGAAAGAACCGAACGCAGAGGCCGTCTTTTGGTCACCCTTCGGATAGGTTTGGCGGCTCTCAGACACACACCCCCTTCCTTGCCCGACTGGCGTTTTGTTTGTTTGTCTGAGGTGCGAAGCTACGAGCGTTGATTGTACGTGTTCCGGACGGCAGGCAGTGGGAGGGGTGATGGGTTGACAGGGGGTCCCGAGGCAGAGGCTCGAACACGACTGCGTGCTCTGCAGCATGTGGATGTATTTGTGTCTCTGGTTGCGCGAGGCGAGAGGCACAGCACGGTGGTTGGTTTGCGGTCCGGTGGGAGTCAACCAACGTCCGCTTGCTTGTTCCAAACGGGGCCTCGTGCGATTTTACCCGTTTGCTTGCTTTTTCTCGCCCAAGTCCCGGCACCAGAGACAGCGGATGAAGCAAGGTTGCGCTGTCACTTCTTTTTCTGTGCGTTGTGGAAATTCAGATCCGTGTGGCAGTTGTTCCATGGAATCTTCTCCGACGAAGCCTCGGCGTCGGCCCCCCAGCGCTGTTTTCCTCGGTGCTGTTTGCGAGTCTTTGCTTGAAGCTAGAGATGAGGGTTATCCGCTTGCCGATAAGTGAATAGTGATATTCATATCGAGGTTACCATGTGACTGGGCGTGGAGAAGATGGCATACGGGGCGGCGAGAGCTGTCAGGCAGTTTGTCTGCTGTGTGTTATATGTCTCAAGCGGAGACAATATGGTCACTGGGGCAGCGTTTTTCATGCAGAGCTGGGCACAGTGGGCAGCAGCAGGGCTTGTCAGCATGGTCTCGATGCTCATGGTCCAATGCCGTTCCGTACCAAAAGATTGCGCGCGAATCCGGTCCCCCGGTGTGATTGATTACTGACTGGGTGATGTGATGAGAGGGGAAGGTAAGGAAGGAGATCGCAGGCTAAGAGGCTGCTGTGTACGTACTGAGTATGGATATGCAGTAGCTACGCAGTAGGTTGCCAGATGCCAGGTCGAACGTCCCAAGTCGAAGGAACCGTCGGGCCTGCGGGCAAGGGTTCTCAGGTGTGGCCTGGGAGATGCAGGAACTTCAGGAAGGTAGACAAGCAGCTGTGATTGCCAATTGGTGCGAGTGGGCTGGGAAAGCTGTCATTCCGTGTCATGACCCTTGCGTGGTGGTGGGAAATGGGCAACGTTCTGCAAGGGCCAATTTTTGACCCATGGCCCTCCAGGGACAAAACACGATGCGGTGGCTGTGGGATGAGGAGAACGAGGCAGGCGAGCCTGGCGAGATTTCCAGAAGGCCCGGCAGCAGGGGGGTTTCTTCGAGGATTCGAGTCTCTGGAGGAGGCTGGCCCTTCTTGGGAAGTTGGGAGAGTGGGAGACGCGGTGTTGGAAAGTGAAGGTCGCCCGAGGAAGGGAACCGTCATGGAGATCCGATGCAGGGGGTGGAATTGGCCTGTCGTTCGGTAGGTAGCCGGGTGCTGGTTTCCGGACTGCACCTCACTTCCAGGTTCCATCCATTGCAAGTTGGGAAGTTGCGAGTTGTGTTGCGGACAGTGCAATCCGTGCGTGACAAGAGCAAGAGCTGCCAGTCCCGCTGCCGGTCCGTTGTCGACGGTCGTATCCGTGTGCCGGCCCGTCTTGTCTGTCAAACGGCCCAGGCCTTTTTCATCCTCACTTTTCTTCTCCTTCTTCTTGTCGTGCTGCTTCCACGGACAGTTGTTGGCTTCCAGACGTGTCTTCCGTTCCCTTTCCATCAAGCAAGGGTTTCGTGTCTAGGAACGGTTTTGCTTCATTCTGTTCCTTTCCCCCCACGGGCACAACCCACCACTTCCTGGTGTGCCGTGCGGCTGCGATTGCATCAGGATGCATCATCCCTCTTGCAAAATGACAAGAGATCAAGTTATCAACTGAAAATTGACGGCGCGCGAATCATCTCCGTCCGTCCCGTGCATCCACAACGGCACCGCAAATCGCGCCGCGTCTCTTCCCACTTCCCCTCCATTTCCCAAAAAACCTGACTCTCCATCCCTGCTTGGGTATCGTGTTCTCGGGTTGCAATAGTCCCAGCACCAAAGCACCGCCCCGCCCATCCGCGTTGGCTTGGACCCTCTCTGACCCGTCCGCTTTGCACTGTTCAGGACTAGGGCCGTTGCCGCGAACTCGACCACCACGGAGCCACTCGCCCACGAATTGCCCTCATTTTGGGGCCGCACGCACGACGAGAGCACCTTGGGAGTAAGGGCCTTCCTAGCACTTGCCTAGCCTTCCTAGGGGAACCATTCCTTGCTCTCCTAGTCTCGTTGCCAACATTGCCTCCTCTGCATAGTATGCTTACCAGCACGGCACTACGCGTACGTAGCCAGGTACGCCCAACAGCGAAGAGTACACGCAGACAACACGCACGCTGATGCTACCCTCATATGTAATGGATGTATTCATAGCAAGCAAGGTGGACGGCATGCGCATTCATGGTGGATAGCACCAACGACGACAAGCCCAGGGCCAAGGCTAACGCAAGGGTCGACAATCTGGCGCCGCCGTCCGGGTGCCAGGGGAACACACGCGAAATGGAGACGACATATGCAGGTCCTGGTCAATCACTCAATCAGAGCAGCATGCATCCAACACTGCACAATACGTGAGAGGAAGAAAATCTCCTTGCGCAAGGCCAATGGCCACGCCTGAAGCTTGTTCCCCTTTTCTCCCTAGTCCGTTGTCGATGCGCAAACATGCTACCGGGCCACTGGGCAAACTCGACCAAAGCTCGAGCTCATCTCAGGGCCGAGAATCATCCCCCCCCCTGACCTCTACTTGAATACCGCCCTCCCCCCAACGAGGTACCCTCCGGGCTTGTTCCTGAGAGCTTCTTTCGCCTGTTCCCCAACCTCGTGTGTCGTTTCTTCTTGTGTTTCTCGCATCGTCTCGGGCCCGTTGTTGTATCCGCTCCGCCATCGTAGCCGCAAACCCACGGTGCCATACACAACAGTCAACACTCTCACTCACACCCACGCTCACTACATCAAGGCTTAATCACACCCAGCCTGCCACGTCGCCGCCGCTTCCTTTCCTCGGTCTGTTCGGTGTGTCTTCCGTCGTCATAATACAGAGCATCCCCGTCCCGCCCGGGTCTCACCTCCTGCGTCCGCCTGTCTCGGTCCTCAGCCGCCACCACTCCACCGCGTAACCGGACAATCCCTACGTCCAGACAGCTCTCAGAGAGTCGATCAGCTTTGCCCTGCTTCTGTCTCTTCGCCATCCAGCCAGCCTCACACAGCCTCTCTCTCTCTCTCTCTCTCTCTCTCCATCTTCGAGTCCTCTGTCGTGCTACCGCAACCCCGGCTTTTGTTACCTAGTCACGTCATTGTTTTCCAAGTTCATCCTAATAAGCTACCAAACCACACTCAACACGCACCACCACCAAGCTGTCGTTCTCCCGCGAAAGACCCTGACGTTGGAAACACCTCCAAAACCCAGCCCGTCTAATAAACTCAGTACCACTCTCGAAGGACTCCTGACGCAAACCCCAGCGGGAGATCATTCTCGGTGCATAGACCAAGCATCCCGCACGCGACCTTTGGAAAAAGTTCAGACGACTTGAGACTGTTCCCGAGTCCCGGTACACCACCCGTTACGCATTTTGGGGGGCACTTACCCACTTACACCGAAAAGCGAGTCATCGTCCTTCGATAAGGCCTGGACTCTTCCATTTCAGCTACCTATTAACCGGTGGTCATCGCGCCGCTCGCGATTCCTCGCTATCAACTCTGGAGGACCCTTCCATCTCGGCTGTCTCGATAGTTTGACCCTTTTGGACGACAAGTGACACTAGCACTATCAACCTCGTCCAACAACACGGCTACCTGCCATTGGGTCATATCAACGTCGGTCCAACGCTATCGAACTTGGACGGCGACGAAAGTCTACGAGCCCGGTACTACAATTGGCCCAGTCTCACATCGGACGAAAAGGTGGCGAGCTGAGTTAAGCCTGTTCTCCTGAAAGTTCAGCAGCCGGCAGAGAGAAGGAAAAAAAACTCTTTTTCAGCAAACACACAGTCTAATTATATCGATCACGATGGGCGGTTTAATACCTTTGCTCCTCAAGCCCGTAGCTGCCGGCTCCCGAGGCAGTGTTATCTTCCCCGCGAACAACACCATCCTCAGCAGCACAACTCCGTCGACCGCCCCCACGCCACAGGCCACGGCAACAACACCAAACACGATGCTGAGCTCCGTTGGACCCTCGAAGTCGCGCATGTCAAGGCGGTCGCTGTCACAGGCGCCGGTGTCCCTCCCGGTCCTGCCGTACACATCTGCCGAGTGGAGCAAGGCCGTCTCCGACGTCAAGAGACAGTATCTCAACCGCAAGTACCGCCCGTGCTCGATGCGATGCTGTGAGATTCTCGACAACCTCAAGGACACCGTAAGTGACAAGCATTCGTCTGAACATGAGATGCCGATCAGTCACGCTAACTATGCCGCCAGGGCAACATTGAGCCTGCGTATCTCATCTACCTGCACTTCTACGCCGCCAGCTCCTTCGAGATGCTCTCCCGTCCCCTAGGCGGCACGTCGCCTTACAAGACGAGACTCCTTCAGCAGGCCCGCGAGCACTACACCAAGGCCTCCGACCTTTCCAGGGCCGCGGACGAGACCATGTCCCGCTCCTCCCGCCCATCCTCGGCAGCAACCTCCAGCATGCACTCCCCCTCCAGCTCCATCTCCTCCCGCGCCTCATCCCGCACGTGGACGAACTCGACCGCCTTCTCCTCGCCCACGCCCTCTGTCTGCTCCGTCGAGGACGCCGTCAACAAGCTCTCCCAGGCCACGACGCCCCCGCAAAAGAAGCGCGTCACCTTCCTCGACTTCCCCGAGGAGCCCATGATCCGCCCGGACTCGCCCACCCTCGGCTTCGACGACTTCCTCTCCGCGCCCATGGAGCCCGAGCCGCGCTACCTCCCCGTCCTCCCCGAGGAGCCGGAACCCGCCGACGAGCAGCAGCAGCAGCAGCCCGATGAGCAGTTCCCCAAGCCCCCGACGCCGGAGCCCCTGACCGAGGACTGCGACGCCTTCGACTTCCTGCGCGAGCGCTCCGTCCACCGCTACTGCGGCCTCCTCTCCAGCCTGCGCTCCCAGATCTCGATCCACATCGCCGGCGTCGAGGAGCAGCTCGCCGCCCCGCCGCCCCAGGACGCTGCTCCCCCCTCTTCATTGCCCGTCAGGGCCGCCACCCCTGAACTCAACGACGAGCTGCGCAGCCTGGACATCAAGGCCCGCATCGAGAAGCTGCGCCAGAACAACTGGCAACGCCGCCGCTTCGATGTCGGCCGCTACGAGGCGCTGCGCGAGAGCGCCCTCGCCGAGCTGGAGTAAACGCCCTTCCGCCTTTATTCATTCCACGTTATGCAATGTTTTCCATTTCTGTCCAAATGATACCACCACCATCCAATCTTTTTTCCAATTTCTATTGATTATTTTCTCCACTGTACCATAATTCTATTTTCGAGCGATGTATCATCCATCCAGGTCTCACCCTCACAAAAGCATCTAGGAAGGAGTCGGGTTTCCGGAGGGACGGCGGCTTACAAAAAAGGAAAACCAAAAATGGCCGGAGGAACAACATTCTTTTCTTCTCATCCATCTCTACCGGTGTTTTTTTTTTTTTTTTTTTTTTTTTTTTAACTCTGGCGTACGTTGCATTGTATAGGCAGGCAAGGATCCGGCGCTGTGGCTAGAATTGCTGCTTCCCTCTCAGCAGTTCCATGCTGTTTTCCCTATTTTCTGTTTTTATCTTCCAGATATCCTTGTACAAACACCATACCGACGACTTGTTACGATCAACCAACCACCATACTTACTAGGTAGTCACCAGAGTTGGGCCTGAAAATGGGCTCCTCTGTCTTCAAGCAGTAGCTAGCAATGCCAACTTGCACAGTTAATCTTGAATATCTCACTGTCCCCCTCGTAATCATGTGAAGTATCAATTCGATGACGAGCTACCCGAAACGTGAGAGTGTCGTCCAAAAGCTGGAGCTTGGACTCACGCTCAGACGCTGTCATCTAAAGAGCTGCATCGGATGCTTTATGCCACGGAATCTTCTGTGCAGTTACGGCGTAGAATCTTTGTATAATTCCGCTGGTAGAAAATCGCAATAAGTAGACTGCTATCAACCAAATGATGTCTCGCTGCTTTTCATGTCCTCCCTGCCTCCTCCAGCAAAGAACGGAAAATCAAAGACGACTCAGATCTGGACTCTGCCCGGCCTGAAATGAACGGTGCGCGCGTACAAAAATAGCGCAACAAGACGAAGCAAACAAGAGCCTCGAAGCCGCTGTCGAACCGCCGTCAGACGGCTCGCTGTCTCAACCCAACCCGTGGTATCATCTTGGGTGCTCTACAGACCCATCCTCCTTTGCCCCCAACCAAGGGAAGTGCAGGGGCGGCCGGTGCATCTTAACCCTGGAAACTGCGTCTCCTGTGCTCCTTCTCCGCCTCCTCCTTCACCTTGAGGGTATCCTGCTGCTGCTTCATCTCGCGGACCTTGGCCAAGACAACCTCACGGAAAATGGCAGTCTTGATTGTCCTGGACAAGTTGCGCTTGTCGCCGCCTTCTGTGTGGTGACCCTTGGCCTGATCAGCGGCGCTGACGGCGTCGACCGGGAAATCAGAGTCATCCTTGTCGTCTTCCTGAGTCTTGAGCAACTCAATCCTGTTCGCGAGCTTGACCATCTCGACACCACGACGAAGCCTGGCCTTGGCCATGTAAGCCTTGATCTCAGGCAGCAAGTTGTGGTCGGTGGCGTTCTCTCCGCTGAGCCAGGGGTGACGCAGAGCCTCCTATGTTTCCTGTCAGTTTCTTCCGCCTCTGGGCGAGAGGACTTCAGTTGCCACATACCTCACTGGACCAACGCTTCACTGGCTCGGGCTGCAGCAGATGCAGGATGAAATCCTTGGCATCATCACTCACGTCTTTCCAGTATCGCTCGTGGAAGACCACTTGGGCGTTGCTGCATTCGTCGATGAGGTCCTGGAGGTTCTCAGACCTGAACGGCGAGTAACCGCAGAGAAGGGTGTATGTGATGACACCCATAGACCACATATCGACGGGCTTGCCATGACCCTTCTTCAGCATGACTTCGGGGGCGGCGTAGCCGAAGGAGCCAGCCATTGTCGTGAGGACTTCGTCCTTGCGGTCGAGCATCTTAGCGATGCCGAAATCGGCAAGAACGAGATCGGACTCAATGTCTCTGGTCAGGTAAAGCAGGTTCTCAGGTTTCAAGTCTGTCTCTTATGTTAGCCCAGCGAATGTCGCATAGCGGAGGAGTAAAGCCGACCTCTGTGAACGACGTTGTTCTGGTGCAGATAGTTGACGGCCTCAAGGACCTGTTTGATGGTCTGCGACGCATCCTTTTCCGTGAACTTTCCCTGCTCGCAAATACGGTCGAAAAGCTCTCCGCCAGTAGCCAATTCGGTTACGATGTAGTACTTGTCCTGCAGGGTATTGTCAGAGTCGAGTGTCCAGTACTGACACAGCGAGGCGCGGGGCTGCTTACACGCGACTCGAACCAGTCGACAAACTTGACGATGTGGGGGTGCTTGAGACGCTGGAGCATGTCGAGCTCATCGTACACCATTCTCTCATTGCCCTTGACGTTCTTCTTCAAGATGATCTTGACGGCGCACTTGCCGGTGGGACCGTCTGCCTCACGGACGATACCGTAGGTACCGGCACCAAGGGTGCGGCCGAAGCGATATTTCGCCCTGTGAAGGACGTTAGGATGTGGGTATACGGAGGGAATCGATTGACGGAATCGCACTTCTTATCATAGCTTTCAGGCTGACCCTGAAGTCTACTGAGCATGTTCGAGACTGGTATGCATTCAAAGGTCAGAATCGCTGGTCATTTGGGCCACATGTCTGACGCAATCTGCGTGCGACAATCTGTGGGAGAGCAGGCTTGGAGGGGCGCTCAAGGCGATCAGATCGTCCTGTCGCAGCCTGCCTCAAGCGGGCATGGAATAGCAGGACTCACAACTCATCTTGGGCGAAGATTGCGGGCAGGAACTAGTGGGAACAGTGATCGGTCGGTCGGACGAGACGCGGGGACGATAGGAGTGCTTCGAAGATGGCAGAGTTGAGCGGCGAGGAGACGGGTTAAAACAGGCGCTTCTGGGAGAGACCCTCGAGGCTGACAGAAAGAAGGAGGAAAATCGAGTAACCGTCGGATCAGGCTCGAACCCTACGCTGGCCAGAGGAGTAGACGAGATGCTGGATGGAGAACTTGGCTGGAGGGAAGGGGGGCGAGGGTGCCGTTGCCTGGTATTGGTGGTGCTGGTAGCTCCTGGGCTGAGGGGTGAAGTGGGGTAGTAGCGCGGGAAGTAAAAAGCAGTGGAGGATGTGATGGAGTGAGCTTCACAGGCCAGAAAAAAACAGCGGTCCTTGGGGGTCCCTTTCACCCTAAGAAACCGGTAGATACTAGGGTACGGGTATGGCAGGTAGGCAATCCTCGTTGATAAGATAGATGCTTCTCTGCTGGGCAGCAAAGGCGTGGGATGATGGTTTCACTGGCTGAGTAGCCAAGCCCGCAGTAAGAACTGAGACATCTCCTTTTGAGTAGGCTCTGAGTCTGGAGGCAGCCATACGGCACTTCAATCACCACATCACACAGGTTCATCGCAAGTGAAGGAGCAATTAGCAGCCAGGGGTCACGGCAAGACGGATGGAGTGAGCCTTGTGGGCTGGTGAGAATTAGAAGGATGCTCAGCCGCACAAGATGAGGGGCAGGAGGAGGGAAGCACGGACTTGGCCGTGATGAGCGGATTGCCTACAGGCGACAGGAAACTTGGCCAGGCCAGGCCTGCCTGCACATTTGACGGGGTCCTTGTGGGCCTTCGTATGCTGAACGAGAGTGGCCGGGTCGCCTTGAGGAGTTCGGGAGAGAAAACCACCACAGAGGGACACTGGATGGTGGTGTATTGTGGCTGGGGAGGCCGCTCTTCGCCCAATGACATTTCACAGCCACAGCAGTGAAGGACCATCCGACGGAGGAGGTGCCGTATGGGTCGTAAGGCTGGAAGCTAGCCCCATCGAGGCAATAAGAGTAAGATGGACTTTTCAGCAATGACATCTTTGGATGAAGGCAAGCAAGAGTCACCATCGGGCTCCCTCCATGATGTGAATCACACATCCACCAGCTCTGGACTGTGAGCCAGAGCCTACAGTGTCGTCCAAACAACTCCAGCCAGCAAAGCCACACAGCGACCCAGGTATCGCGTCTGATCATGAGGCCGATTCTCCTCCCCGCAGGTTGGCCATATGTCTGTCGACTTCATCAAGAATGGAAGGCTGCCTAGGTGCTAGGCAAGCTCCCCGTTGCAATCTGCATCTCAATCTGTGTTTCGGCCCCCACACGCGGGAAGTGCTGGCCGCAAAGGCGCTATGCCTCCCATGCCGAGTCATACTTTACCGAAGGCTCTTTCGCAGCTTCGCAGAAGTGTGTTGGGTACTTCAGCGCAAAGTCACCCGCCCTTTGACTTTTCGTCGACGGAGGTGCAAGACAAAACACTTGCTCTGTGCGAAAGGGACGTCCCGCCAGTTTAACTTGACGATGCTGGTTGCTCGCCTCTTCGTCACATGTTTATTTGGCCCAGGTCCCCTGCTTGAGCATGTGCGTGACGTAATAAGACGAATGGACTGAGTCTGTTACAAACATGAGGTATCTCTATGATGGACTCTATCCGTCGTCTGCCAGAGCATGCGTGGGTAAATTGTCAGACGGACGGCGGGTCATGAAGCATGTTGCATAGGTGTGTATGTTGTTCAGACACCTCGTTCTCTTACGATGAGGGTTCAAAGAACAGAAACGGTCGCTACACGCGAGCGCTTCCGCTCAAATGAATGTTTCGACTCATGGGCACTCGACGCGGCGATCAGATGCACAGCTCCAGAGTTGGCCCGGTGGTTTGGAGATGTTTGGAACTGAATTGGTTTGGCCACTGACGGAGCAGCACTGTCAATGACTCCACCCGGAGCGTGGGTGTGCACCAGTGCTACCCAGCAATGAATGAAGTGTCCGGGGAGTGGGGTGCTGTCCGCGCATCGGTCGACATGCATGAACAGTGATGCAGCCGCCGACCTTCTCCGCTAGCTGGATGGATGTAGCAAACACAAGCAAATAACTTACCAAGGTAGCCAGCGAATTGACTCTGCCCGCAGCGTCAACAAACGACTCTCAGACCTCGAGGGCTGCTACAGGTAGCTTACTTACCTAGGCAGTCTTAGGTAAGTGCCGTCTCCATTTCCTTCTACTCTAAACGCGCCTGCCCTTCCATCCTTGCCGCACATGGCATGTACATCGGCTGGCGGAACTCGGCCGACCCCAAAGCCTCAGCACTTTGACGTTCTGTGTTAATCCCACTTCACTTCATCTTCTTCCTCTCGCTCGACTGGCTCTGTTGTCGAACTACTTCACACTTGCACTCCTCAAGACGGCTCCGAATCCAGGGCCAGACCTGACCAACCTGTCCCAGTTCGGGTCGGTGCAGCCCGCATTCCCGCACTCACTTTTTCGGAGGTGCTACCTAGGTCGTCTCTCTTTTTTGCTGTTCTCGGCGGGAAACACCGAAATCGTGGGGTCCAACTGGGCAGCCCCTCCAACAAGCCCTCCAGCGGCCAGCATCCAACCCGTGCCCGTCGCGCTGTCGACTGCCACTCTTCCGTCGCCTGGCGCCGTCACCTTTTCTCTCTCGGACACTGCTTTGATTCGCCTTCCTTCCTTCGCGACATTCTGGTCTGCCCTGGTTTCGTCGGCTTTGCGCTTCAAAATGGCCTCAAGCTTTGCATCCAAGCGACTGGCTAAAGAGCTTTCCAAGGTTGGTTTCCTATCGAAGCACCACGATCCAACCTTGGGCTTCTTTTCAGCTGCTTGCGCCGTGCGAATGAATTCGGCTGACATTTATTACAGCTCAATACCGGTCTACCGCCTGGCATCGACCTCATATCCGCCGACAACTTCGAGGAGTGGCACATGGATATTAGGGTCCTCGACGACAATCCACTGTATCTCAACGAGGTCTACAGACTCAAGTTTAAATTCTCCCAACAGTATCCTATTGGTATGCGCCCTTCGTGCGCCCTTGCCTTGTTTCAAGGTGGCCTAGCTGACCAACTCCTCAGAACCTCCGGAGGTCACGTTCGTGAAAACAACCGAGCGACCGATCCCAATGCATCCCCACATATATTCCAACGGCATTATCTGCCTGGACCTTCTCGGAAACCAGGGCTGGAGTCCCGTACAAAACGTAGAGAGTGTCTGCATGAGCATACAAAGCATGTTGACCGGAAACGAGAAGAATGAGCGACCCGCTGGTGATGACGAGTTCGTGCGGAGCAACCGCCTCCGACCAAGAGACATTGACTTCTACTACCATGACAACACCGTTTGATGAACGATGGCGTCTTGTGTAGTGGAGTCTTACGGCGTTTGGATTTGGCTTGGGATATCTGGGACGGCTGATTGACTGTTTGGGTCGGTCGTCTGCGCGAAGTAGAAGAAATATACCAGCGTGGTGTTTGGCCTTCTTCAATCTTCATGGAGCGCCATCAGAGCGGGAGAGGGCGAAAGAGGGCACTCGGAAATATTACTCGCAAAGACAGAGCGGGAGTAGCACATGGCGCCCGCGATGATATGTCGCGGTTTGGACAGCAGTAGGTTAGCCATTCAAGCGGAATGGGCCTCTACTGTGATTTACACATGAGATGGCGGGTTTTCCCCGTAGAGAATAAAGAAGCAATAGGAAAAGCCATACAGGATACAAGCAGGTCTCCTCTGCTTGCAGCTTGCTGCACCTTGTTCAAAATGCAACTGGGGATCTGTGATCGCCGTCGTTTTTGCATTTCCACTTGAGACGAGGCACCCGACCCCAAGGGCGGGCCTCAAAGGTACCTCAGGCCTTTACCTCGCTGTGGCTGCCCCGCTAGAACACTTCGATAAGCCCGCACTGAACGGGTGCATCTTGAGACCCGATAGCGCAACATGGGCAATCATGCGCCGCAGTTGCCTCCTGAAGCCCCGCTGACGCAACACGATGAGTTACGTGGATGCCCCGTGCTGCTCAGCCCACGTCCGATCTATCTAATCTCGTGCCGGTACAGCTCCAGAGCTCGCTACCCGCCTAGCTTCTTCTCCGGCAACACTTCACTCAGCGAGCAGCGGTCAGTCTGCAGCTGCCACCAACAACCAGCTCCCAAACGCATGGAGAGCTCAAAATGGCCCCTCGAGCTAGCTTCAATACGGATCAGATAAAGGACAAAGCTAGAAAGGACCTCCTTTACCTGCTCGAGGCTGTAAGTAAGGCATTTCAGAGCGCTTGATTGCATGCCGTCTCCGAGCTAACCCGCCGACGCAACCAGGTCCGTGGAAAGAAGAACCTCATCCTTGAGCGCAGCTTAGCCGGCCCCATCGGCACTATTGTGAAGGTCGCAACGCTTCAGGAGTACGGCGTCGACAAGTTCTTTTTCCTTGAGAACCAGAACGCCGACACCAGTCAGCGAAATGTCATCTTCATAGCTCGCGGCGAATGCGCCCGTCATGCGCAAACGATAGCAGGTTAGCGAATCCCACGCTCCGTTACCATACCATACACAGAAAGTCACTGTATCAAGCACGATATCTCTCGTCGTAACCGATCAAGGGTCGACCTTCACTTGCCAAACTCATGTCTCGGCTGGCAGTCGCTGCAGTTGTACTGACATCCTGACAGAGCAGATCCGACGGCTACAACGTGAAAGTCAGACTGGCCACGACTTTCACATTTTCTGGGTGCCCCGACGGACGCTCGTATCAGATAAACTTCTCGAAGAAGCCGGCGTCCTTGGAGATGTCAACATCTCGGAGCTCCCCCTCTACTTCTTCCCGCTGGAGAAAGACGTTCTCTCACTAGAACTAGACGACTCGTTCCGCGATCTCTACCTGTCGAAAGATGTCACCCCATCATTCCTCCTCGCCAAGGCTCTGATGGAAATCCAACAGAATCATGGCTTGTTCCCGCGTATAATTGGTAAAGGCGATAACGCGAAACGAGTAGCCGAGCTCCTCGCTCGCATGCGACAAGAAATCCTCGCCGGCGAAGACGCGAGCGAAGCGACGAGAGCCGGCCTCACACCGAGCACCTTGACCGAAAGCGTTATCATCATCGACCGCGAGGTTGACTTTGTTACTCCTCTCCTCACCCAACTGACATACGAGGGACTCATTGACGAAGTGTTCGGCATTCAAAACAACCAGGCCGAGGTCGATACTACCGTAGTTGGCGCCCCATCGCAGTCATCAACGGCCAGCGCTCAAGCGAGGAAACGTAAAATCCTGCTGGATTCCTCCGACAAGCTCTACGAACAGCTCCGGGACACCAACTTCGCAATTGTTGGAAGCCTGTTGAACAAGGTTGCTCGCCGACTGCAAAACCTGCAAAAGGACTACGAGGGACGAAACAGTCAAAAGTCTATTGCCGAGCTGAAAGACTTCGTCAGCAAACTGCCTGGCTACCAGGCCGAGCAACAGAGCTTGAGGATTCACACGGGCTTAGCAGAGGAAATTATCAAGTACACAAGAACAGACCAGTTCAAAGGCCTGCTGGAGGCCCAACAGAACCTAGCTGCTGGAGCGGATCCATCCACTCAGTTCGAGGCCATAGAAGAGCTGATCGCACGCGACACACCCTTGCCGGAGGTTTTGCGGCTGCTTTGCATCTATTCATGTATATCTGGCGGAATCAAGCCCAAGGAATTCGACCAGTTCCGGCGCCTGATTCTGGAAGGATACGGGTATCAGCACATCTTGACCCTAAACAACTTGGAGAAGCTCCAATTGTTCTTGTCACGCTCGTCGCCATTGGCAGAGATGATTCCAATGACTGGAGCGACAGGCAGCAACACAGGAACGAAGACCAACTACGCTTATCTTCGGAAGCTCCTGCGACTCATTGTTGACGAAGTCAAGGAAGACGACCCGAACGATATCGCTTATGTGTACAGCGGGTACGCACCGCTCTCGGTTCGACTCGTCCAATGCGTCCTGCAAAAGCAGTACCTGCTCCAAGTCACCCGAGGAAACGGCGCAAGCGGTGCAACAGGATCATCTGCTGCACAAGGCTGGCATGGGTTCGATGAAGCCGTGAAGCATGTGCGCGGGCAGACGTTTTATGAACTGCAAAAGGGCGAAGAAAAGGCCGTCAAGGCTCGCGCGCTCCTCTCCGGAGGAACCGAGAAGCAGACGGTATTTGTGGTGTTCGTTGGAGGCATCACCTTTACAGAGATCGCTGCTCTGCGGTTCATTGCGAAGCAGGAAGAAGGTATGTGCCATGCCGAGTCCACTCTCTAATTGAGTCGCAAACTAACTTGAGTGTGAACGCAGCACGAAGGAACATCGTCATCTGCACGACGTCGATCATTAGCGGAGACCGAATGATGGACGCGGCCATCGAGAAGGAATCGTTTGCTAGAGACAACGTCAAACCTGCCAGTCCGAGCCAGTGAGGCGGACCAGCTACACAGAGGCCCCCAGCCTTTGGGAGTTACAGTCTGAAGCGGGCAACGGCGCTTTATGGCAACACCTGACAGGTGGGAGGTAGCATTGCAAATTAATTAATGAGAAATTTCCATGTGAAGATATGTTGAAGAAGTTCATGAATTTAGACCGCTCCTACTCTTGATGTCATGCAATGACGGGCTCCCGCTTTGTGCATTCACAGGGGCGGGTGGCTCGTGAGGAGCGGGCAGCTGCGACCGAGTCAGGACGGTCACGTGGCTGCCATCGAAACATTGTGGGGCGAACCTCCCCGTCGCTGGCGCTTTACCTCAGTATTCGGGTGCGGGAACCGACACTCTCTCACGCTGCAACTCATGTATCTGACGAGTGCGCCCTCATGCATAAAGCCTTGTCTCCTTCAACAGTGTTGTCTAGAACAATAGATCAGTCCCATGCACCTCACGTGGGAGTCCTACGACTCGACATACCCAGTATCGGGACGAATCAATTCAACATCAGGGACAGTGCGGCCGGGGTGGTGGCGTCTCCGCAGTCAAGGTCGGTACCTCAGATATTGTCTCCTCTTATATCGGCTGCTGGCAGGTATGAGAACTCAAATCAGCTAACAATTTTCAATTAGAACGACTATCCAGGTGCACCTGAGAGACCGTATCATGGTGTCGACTTAGAACTAAACTGTCACATCAACCCCGAACGGGACCACAGGCCGAGCAAGCAATTTCTCATCGCTGACGACTCGCCTCCATTCATACATATCAACTCCTCATCCCCGAGTCCAGTTCGAGTCGACGATCGAAACATGAGAACAAGTTTGCGACCTCGTGTTAAGCAGGCATCTGGATTTGGAAAGGGATCATTGATGGCTTTCTCGAGCCAGGACTCACACATATCAGACTTGCCGCCTTCAAGGGCCAATGCTCCCTTAGATCGTATATCGGCAAAGAACCTTTCAGACTCAACTTCGTCTTCATCAAGCCGTCTATCTTCAGAGGCCGTGTCAGAAATTGCCCCAGAAATCGTAGTCTGGACGGAAGACATGGACCTCGATGACACGAGCCAAGACGAGGCAGAGCCCTCGCCTACGTTCGAGTCCAATCATGAGTAGGTGGATTTTTGTTCTCCTTCTTGACCGACATGCTTAGCGGTGCGTGGTCTGAGCCAAGCGTCGGGTCGCTGACGTACAGACAGGACACCAATGGAAGATGATGCCACGTCAGATACCCATCAATTACAACTACCCGAAGTCCCTCATGAGTCGTTCGAGTCGCCCACTGAGAATCTCTCTGATAGGCAATCGGAGCTATCGTCGGCGCCACCGTCCGTTTCTAGTAAGGCAACAACCCCAGTAGACCTCGACGGGCCTCCAGAACAATCTCTACCATCGACAGAGATTGAAACCCCTCCCGTTCGGGAAACTCCGCGACGGTCGTTCGATGTCAAACCAAGATCGTCTGTCCCATCAAACCTCTCAGCCTATGAATACGCGACCTTATGCATCGAGGCAGCCGAATCCTCACGGCTAAATCCTTACGCTCTGCATGAGGAGGAATATCAGATGCTGCGGCAACATATTAGTCACGTTCAAGTGACAACGTACCTCAACATCAGAAACGGCATTCTTCGACTATGGTACAGTAACCCACGGGTTGCAGTAACGAGGAATGAGGCAGTTGGATGCGCTAGCGCCCGATGGTTTAACGCGGCAAGCGTCTGTTACGACTGGCTTTTGCGACGAGGCTACATCAACTTCGGATGCGTTGAGTTCCCGGAGACGAAAAAAGACGATGAGCAAATGACTGACGCAGAATATCGCCCGAAGAGAAGGAGAATAGTCGTAATTGGAGCTGGCATGTCAGGCTTAGGGTGCGCAAGGCATCTGGATGGCCTCGTCCAACAGTATTCGGAACAATTTGGTGCCCTGGGAGAAGCACCTCCAGAAATCATCGTCCTCGAAGGTCGCGGCCGTATTGGTGGGAGAGTCTATTCGAGGGAATTCAAGTCGAAGCCGAAGACTCCGCTTCCTGATTTCGTTGACAAGAGACATACTGCTGAGATGGGCGGTATGATCATCACAGGATTCCATCGTGGCAATCCAATGAACATTCTTGTACGCGGCCAACTGAGCCTGCCTTACCGTGCCTTGCGATCAGCGACAACCATTTACGACTCGAACGGCAAGCCCGTAGACCATACGAGGGATACTCTAGTTGAGGAGCTGTACAATGACTGTCTAGACCGCGTGAGCGAGTTCAAATGGAAAACGCAACCCTCGAAACGCATCGAGGGCAATCGGGACGCGGTCAATGAGGGGCGGGATGCCAACAGTGATGGGCACAGGACAATCGCTCAAGCTGAGGAAGAAGCTGCGGCTCTCCCACACGCCCCTCCCGTGTCTCAGCAGAATGTGCCTGAGAGAGTCAACATGGTGCCCGTATCCTCTGATAAGCTGACTGGGCGCGTCCATACCCAGCCTGGAACACCGGGAATCCTCAAAGCAGGCGAGAAGGCAAAGGCCATGGGGTGGACTCTCAAGAACGGGTTATCAAATGAGGCCAACATCGATCTCGGCAATGCTACTCGCATGCCCGACGCGACGCTTGGCACAATATTTGACGAAGCTGTTGTTCAGTATCGCAACATCATTGATCTGACATCACAGGACCACCGCTTGCTTAATTGGCATGTCGCCAACCTCGAATACAGCAATGCTACGGACATGTACCATCTTAGTCTGGGTGGCTGGGACATTGATGCTGGTAATGAGTTTGAAGGCGATCATACGATGATCGTGGGTGGATATCAGAGCGTTCCCCGGGGCCTCCTGCATTGTCCTACGCCTCTGGACGTTCGTACTAGGTCGCCCGTTGACAAGATTGTCTACAGCCTTGAGGAGAATGGTCGTGCGAATGTTCACTGCGAAGATGGAGAAACCGTGGAGGCTGACTACGTTATCTCGACCATACCTCTGGGTGTCCTAAAGCAGGGCAACGTCACCTTTGAACCGCCTTTGCCAGAATGGAAGAGCGAAGCCATCAATCGCATTGGGTACGGCGTGTTAAACAAAGTGGTCCTGGTTTACGAAGAACCATTCTGGGATACCCAGAGACACATCTTTGGCGTTTTGCGAGATGCAACGAACCGTCACAGCGTCAATCAGCGCGACTACAACTCACAGCGTGGACGCATGTTCCAGTGGTTCAATGTAACCCAGACAACGGGCCTCCCCTGTCTTGTTGCGTTGATGGCGGGCGAGGCTGGCTTTGACACCCAATACAATAGCAATGACAACCTCATTGCTGAGGCGACGGGAGTTCTGCGGAGCATCTTTGGTGCCAAGGTGCCTCACCCCGTCGAAGCCATTGTCACAAGATGGTCAGCGGATAGGTTTGCCCGAGGAAGCTACTCCTCAGCAGGTCCGGATATGCAACCGGGAGATTACGACGCCATGGCTCGTCCCATGGGCAATTTATTCTTCGCTGGAGAGCACACGATAGGAACACATCCAGCCACCGTTCATGGAGCCTACCTATCCGGTCTGCGAGCCGCGTCCGAGGCCCTGGAGTCGATGCTTGGGCCAATTGACGTGCCAACGCCCTTAGTTCTTTCCAAGGAAAGCATCTCAAATAAACGAAAGGAGATGGACAGGCCCAAGGACCCCGAAGAAGCCCACAGAGAAGCCTACGAGCTCGCCACCTGGGAGTACATCAGGTCTCAGATTGGCGAACGGCCCGAGCAACCCCGCAAAGCAGCGGCGAACGCTTATGTGCTCTTTAGCAAGGCCATATTCGAAATTGCGCGGCAAAAGTGCGATGCCGAGCGATCCCACAAGAAGAAGGCTGCTCCGAATGAAGTGCGGACCATGACTTCCAAGATGTGGAAGGCTACTCCCCTTGAGGAGAGAAAGCCATTTGAGGATAAAGCCACTGAAATGAAGGCGGAATATGCAGACGCTGTCAAAGTATACGAGGAGAAGTCGGCGCAGTGGGAAAAGGATTACGTCGAGCACGAGAAGACATATCACGCGGAGCACCCTTTCCTACCCTTGCACCAGGCCAATGGAGATGAGTCCAACAGAGAGGGAAGCGCGAATAAGTATCGCCGAACCAAGCATGTCAGCTATGCCGAAAGTGACGGCAGCGATATGGAGTTCTGATTGCGGAGCTGGCGCATTGGCCTGTGTATTTCACTGCGAAAGCATGGGACAGGCTCAGGTGCTAGAGGCGAATTGCTCGGGCGGGCTACGGTGCTTTTTTGTTTTCGGTTTTCTGTTTTCTTGCGAAACGGGTGCATGGCAGTATGCATCCTAGGGTTCGTGGTTATCCGGCGTTGAGAGGGAAATCATGCATACCCAGTGTTTCTTCACTTTGGCCTACTCCGCATCGAGGGAGACGGGGTTATTCATACAATAGTAATTAGCCCTTGTAAATTATTCCCCCGTCGTACATAGCAATCAACTGCATCATGAGCACGATCGTGGAACGGGGCGTGAAGTGTTTTTGAAACAGCAGGTGAAAGAATTCCCATCCATGTTCTAGATCAGGATGTATTCGCGAGGATTTGTTACACTGACGAGGGCAATAGCCGCCCTAGGTAGCTTGATACAAAGGGAAGAGAGGTAGGAGTCATCTCTATCTGATGTTTTTTTCGCTTCCAACAGTTTACATGTCCGCGGAGGCAGTGGCACCAGTGATAATCTCGACCAGCTCTCCGGTAATGACGGCTTGACGGGTACGGTTGAAGAGAATCTGGTACTTGCTGATCATGTCACCAGCGTTCTTGGAGGCGTTCTGTGTGTAGTGTCAGTGAGCTGCAGGGATGCGATGAGGGGCTGGATATATGACGTACGTCCATGGCGTTGCGACGGGCAGAGATCTCGCAGGCGTGACCCTCAGCCAGAGCCCAGTAGATGGAGTTGGCAAGAGCGTACTCGCGGAGGTTGGGGATGAGCTCCTCGTCGACCTCAAAGGCGGAGAAGTTGGCTACGGGACGGTCAGGTTGCTATTACATCACGGTACTAAGTGGTCGGGAGGCATACGGGAAGAGAGGATGGCCTCCTCGGAAAATGCCTCAACAACGGTGGGCTCGTACGCCGTGGCGTTAAGGAACTTGTTGTAGAGGATCTTGATGGAGGAGTAGTCGCCCTCGAGCTGGACGACCTGGTCGGCGATGGCCTGGGCATCGGCGAAGGTGGGGACGTCCTTGCCGACGCCGGCGAAGCTGAGCTGGATGTCCTTGGAGTTGGTGCGCTGGAGCTGGGACTTGCACTTCTCGCCGAGGATGACGAGGTCGGCAGTGGCACCCTTCTCGAGGAACTCGCGGCGGATGTAGCGGGACAGACCGGAGTGAATACCACCACAGAGACCCTTGTCGGAGGAGCAGACGATGATGAGCTCCTTCTTGCCGTCACCCTCGAGGGGCTTGGTCTCGGCAGAGTCGAAGACCTGGTTCGAGGTCGATCCGTAGACACGGGAGTCGGTCATGGCCCTCTGAGCGCGGTTGAGCTTGGTGGAGGCGACGATCTTCATGGTCTTGGTAATCTTCTCGATGTTGCGGATGGACTTGAGGCGGCCTTCGATCTCACGCAGGGTCGCGAAGGTGGCAGCGGTGCTGGGCGCGCTGGCCGTGACTCTAGATGAGCGAAACCGCAATCAGCAATTAAACTTTCTCTCTCCATTTTATTCTTTCGCAATCGGGGTATCGGTCGCAAGAATTTCGTTTTCGATGCCGCGTGTCCTCCTCGATCGATGGTTGGTCGTCGTCGAAACCGAAAAAACCACAACCCCTTCGTTTCCCTTCCTCCGATTTTCCGAGCTCAACAAAGTGTGGATTCCGACTTACCGCGAGGGAGCCGCAGCCGCAGCTCGCAGAGCTGGTCTCGCCGCCCGGGAAAGCATTGTGAATGTTGGAGATTAAGGAGATCGAGGCTCTGCCGTTGTGGAGATCAATTGATCACGACCGCTTTCGAGACCAATTGATGTTGCTGGCGGTGCGTCGGGGATGCGAGATTGGTAGTTCGAGCAGTTTTCCTGTCCCGAGCATTCTTCGCACCCGGCTCTCTCCACTCCACGGTTGTTCGGTTGCCGGTTAAACTCTGGCGCCGCTCAGCCACATTGGATTGGATTGACTGAAAGTGGAGGTGTCCTGTCCCAGCCGGGTTCCATCTCCCAGCCACATCGTCGGTCTTTCCCTTTTTCCCATACCTTACTTAACTAGGTAGTCGTAAGCAACTAACCAGATCCTTCCTTTTACCGGGTTTTCCAAAACTCTCGCTGGAAGGTGCCGTAGAACCATTCCCACCCTCCAAGTCTCTCTCTTTCCCTCGATCCCTCGTGAAAAATTCGACCTCCCGCGCCTTCCTCAATTGACAGACGTGGGCCATCCCCTGCGTCTTATTTAGCTCGTGGCGGCCATTCATTCCATCCGTCTTTTGCCTCTACATCTACGCGATTCTCCCGCGCGGATCGGCTTCTACAACTTTTTCCGCTCCACAAGGCCCCGGTTTTGGACTTTGCGATTCAGATCTTACTTAACCGTCCATAAACGTCGCGAACCGAGAGCTTTAACTATGAGCAGCTCCGACGACGACATGCCTCTTGCGAGGTCCAAAGGACAAGGTAAGTGCGCTAAGTGATTTAGACTCGTCTTTTTGCGCTTTCGGACGCCTCACCCTTCGCGCCTTGCCGTCCTTTGACGTGTCACTTTTTTTTTTCACTCGTCGCCTGCCCAGCGCCAGCCTCAGCCTGACTCGTCGCGTCCCCCAACTCGGCTTCGGCAACTCGAGAAACCTTAGCCTTTTTTTCTAACTTCATCGTTCACAGTCTCCTCCGCCAAAATCTCAAAAGCCGTTGACAGAGACATGGATCGCACCGCATCCAAAGCTAGGGCTGCCCCGCCCGGTCTCTCCATTCGAAATGGTCCCGTCGACGACGAGATGGACGTCGATGGCCCTTCCACCAACGGATCGAAGCGAAAGTCACGGTCGTCATTGCCCAAGATCAACTACAAGGATGAATCCGAAGAAAGCGACGACGATGTTCCCATGGTAGGTTACACATGGCAGGCAACAGGTGGCGGAGTCCGAGGCTGACACCAGATTCAGGCCAAGCGACAAAAGACAAAGCAGAAGCCAGTGGACTCGGATTCCGACGATGAACCTCTCACGGCAAGAAGAGGCAAGAACCTGCCTCCTTCCTACAAGGAGACAGCCTTGCCAGACTCATCCGACGACGACCAGCCCCTAGGTGCCAAGCTTGCGAAGAAGAAGGCCGATATCGAGAAGGCAGCCGCGAAAGAGGCTCGCAACATTCGTGCCAACGAGTCCAAGACAAAGAAGGCAACCCCGAAGAAGGCCATCAAGGATGAGTCTGACGATGAGCCTCTCGCAAAGTCAGCCACGAAGAAGCGTCAATCGAACGGTGCTGCTAAGAAGACCAATGGCATCAAGGCCGAGTCCGATTCCGATGAGCCCATCGCAGCCAAGGGCAAGAAGGCCGCAGCTAAACCGGCGGCCAAGGGCAAGGCTGCTGCACCTGCGAAGGGCAAGGCGGCTGCAAAGGCCAAGCAGGAAAGTGAGGCACCCGAGGACGAGGAGGGAGAGGAGTACGAGTGGTGGAATGCGCCAAAGAAAGAGGATGACAGCCAGAAATGGACGACTCTTGAACACAACGGCGTTCTTTTCCCACCCGAATATCAGGCACTTCCCAAGAACGTCAAGCTGCACTATGACGGCAAGCCAGTCAACCTGCCCATCGAAGCCGAGGAGGTTGCCTGGTATTTCGGCTCTATGCTCTCATCGAAGCACAACGTTGAGAACCCGGTTTTCCAGAAGAACTTTTTCGAAGACTTCAAGCAGGTTCTGAAGGAGTCCGGTAAGCCTGCAACGGACAAGCAGGGCAACAAGGTCGACATCAAGGATTTCTCCAAGATGGATTTCAACGCGATGTTTCAGTACTCTGAGCAACAAAGTGCGGCTCGGAAAAACCGAACTGCTGCGGAGAAGAAGGCTGCGAAGGCCGAGAAGGACGAATTAGAAGAGCCTTTCATGTACTGCAAGTGGGATGGACGCAAGGAGAAGGTTGGAAACTTCCGTGTCGAACCCCCCAGTCTTTTCCGTGGCCGTGGAGAGCATCCGAAGACCGGAAAGTTCAAGAGGAGAGTGTATCCCGAGCAGGTCACCATCAATATTGGCAAGGATGCCAAGGTCCCGGAAGCTCCCAAGGGCCACAAGTGGAAGGCCGTCGTTCACGACAATAAGGCCACCTGGCTGGCAATGTGGCAGGAAAACATCAACGGCGCGTACAAGTACGTCATGCTTGGTGCTGCCAGCGCCATCAAGGGCCAGAGCGATATGAAGAAGTTCGAGAAGGCTCGTGAGCTGAAAAAGCACATCGACAGAATTCGCAGAGACTACACCAGAGACCTGAAGAGCGAGGTAATGGCTGACCGTCAGAGGGCTACGGCCGTTTATCTGATCGACAAGTTTGCTCTCAGAGCAGGTAACGAGAAGGACTCTGAAAATGAGGCCGAGACCGTCGGTTGCTGCTCTCTCAAGTACGAGCACATCACCCTGCGGGAGCCCAATACTGTGATTTTCGATTTCCTCGGAAAGGACAGTATTCGATTCTACGATGAGGTCACGGTCGAGAAGCAAGTCTTCAAGAACCTCAAGCTCTTCAAGAAGGCCCCCAAGGCTGACGGCGACGACATTTTCGACCGCCTGACGACAACTCAGCTCAACAACCACCTGAAGAACTACATGCCCGGTCTCACGGCGAAGGTCTTCCGTACCTACAACGCCTCCTTCACCATGTCAACTCTCTTGAAGAAGCTCAAGGTCGAGAACCTGACGATCCCCGAGAAGGTCAAGCTTTACAACGACTGCAACCGTGAGGTCGCCATTCTTTGCAACCACAAGCGCACTGTTGGTGCTGCTCATGAAGCTCAGATGGAGAAGCTTGGCGATCGCATCAAGGGTCTTCGTTACCAGCAATGGCGCACGAAGCTGATGATGCTGGATGTCGAGCCCAAGACTAAGAAGAAGAAGGGTGCTGACTTCTTTGCTCGACCCGAGGAGCTGGATGATGAGTGGGTTTTGGAGCACCAGAAGTTCCTGGTGGAAGAGCAGCGCACAAAGATCACCAAGAAATTCCAGAAGGACAACGAGAAGCGTGCTGCTGATGGCGAGAAGCCTTTCCCCGAGAAGGAGCTTAAGGAGCGCCTCAAGGCTGCCGACGAGCTTGCCGCCAAGTTCAAGAAGGAGAACAAGTCGAAGAAGGTTGAGGCTGAGGGCCGCAGTCCTACAGTCGAGAAGCTCGATGAGCAAGTTAAGAAGATCGATGAGAGGATCAAAGCCTTGGAGCTCCAAGCTGCCGACCGCGACGGCAACAAGGAGGTTGCTCTGAGCACCAGTAAGATCGTAAGTTGTTTGCACGACTTGGAAAGGAGGTCCAATCGCTAACATAATGCGCAGAACTACATCGACCCTCGTCTCACTGTGGTCTTCTCCAAGAAGTTCGATGTGCCCATTGAGAAGTTCTTCTCCAAGACGCTTCGTGAGAAGTTCAGCTGGGCCATCAAGTCTGTCGAAGACGAGGACTGGGAGTTCTGATCTTTCTGCCGCGACGCTCAAGTGGGAAATTTTCAACCACCCGAGGCAGAATCTTTTGTATTTGTTTGTACCAAAAGCATTTCATTTTAGCATTTCGACACCGGGCACCAGAGTCCACAAAAGTCCGAAACAGGGCAACAGACGCCACGGATTTCTTTAGGCGTTGGGCTTTCGGGGAGGCAGGAGAGCATATACCGGAGGGATGGCACAGTGATGCAACGCATGCATACAGCGAGAGACGACCGCAAGAGTTATACGGAGCCATTGCTCAAGACACGGTGGCTTGGAGACCGCCGTCCGCTCATTCTTGCTATAGAGCCAGATACACCCACAGCGAGCTAGATTACTCCAGTAGCTAATTAAACTTACCAATTCAATAATGCAGAGTTTCGCTTATGTGGTTGTCGTCTGCTCGGCCTGTATTCAGAAATTCAGCCCTTTATCGTCGAGAAGGTCCCGCCTCGTTTTCTCTTGTTGTTGCAGTCAATTGGTTATGAAACTACTCTTCAACTGAGGACGATAAAGACGACACCGACGGTAGTGACGATAGCAAAGTATGGCTACCCTCAAGGCCAATACGAGAGCACATGGCAACAGTATTACATTCCCAGCTTCAAGTAGTAGTGAGCGGATTCACATTTGTGAACAGGCCAAAAGTTCTGGCAAACCTATTCATGCCAAAAGGGATCCTGAGATGTAAAAATCAAAGGGTCAACGACGTTGGCCTGATTCGAACAGACGCTCCCGAAGGAACAAGATTTCTAGTCTTGCGCATTAGACCACTCTGCCACAACGCCGCTTGTGGCATTTGGGCCACTAATTGAGTATTGAGAAACTCACACCGTGCCCCACCATTTGGCACGCCCACCTGCGCTCACAGTTTCCATTGCAGGTCATGGTATTCACCCCTTCGAAGCAGTGGTGGTGGTCTTGTCGCCAATTGATTCATTGGTTGTGTATATTACACTGCGTCTATCATCATATGTACATCCAACCTTCTGTTGTATCTCGTTTCGTCCGTGACGACCCAATGCAAAAACGCCGTAGTATGCGACCTCCCAGGTTGGGCCTTTTGCGCCCGTATTCTAGATATTTATGTCTCCCAAGCCCTCGTGCGTAGGTATCCATTACAGTTCATTAAAAAAACAAATGTTCGACGCGCCTCCTGCGGGTGGTGTCATGAACTTCACCGCCCAATGAGAGCGACAACACCAAGAACAAACGACGCCAACACCATAAGCTGCGGCCGCACTGAGTTACCGGTATCGGGTACAATCTTGCCCTCCGAGGTCATGCGCCATCCGTCAGGAACCGAACCACCCGTAGGCCTCGCGCTCGCAACCCAAGGCCAACCGGTCTGCGTCAGCGTGGCGGACGCGTCGGCGCCGATGCCGCCAACGGGGACCGTCGGGGAGGAGCCCGTCTCGGCGGCGGCGCTGGCGGTGATTGTGAGGGTGCTCGCGCCGTTCAGGTTCCCATTGACCTGGCCGTCGACGGCCTGGATGGAGCCCCAGTTGCCCGAGGTGTCGGTGTACTTGTACTCCTTGCCGGTGGAGTAGTCCGTGATGGAGATGTCCTTGACGACCATGTGGAAAGGGCCCTTGGTGAAGTCCGTCGGGCCGCGCGCCCAGTCGATGGTGCCGGCGGCGTTGGCGGGGTCGCCGCCGGACCAGGCGCCGAACTTGACCTGCATGGGCGACTGGGGGTACTGGTTCGTGTCGGCCTCGGCCTCGGTGAGGGTGCGGACGACGGTGCCGTCGACAGTGAAGACGATGCGCTCCGAGGTCCAGTCGATGACGTACTTGATGAACTTTTCCTGGTTGTTGTCCGTCTTGTGAAACTGGCCGCGGTTGTAGGTCGTCACGTCGCCCTTGCCGAAGTAGTTGGACTGCACCTCGGTCGGGTCCGCGCCGAGCCACTCCAGGTCGATCTCGTCGAGGGTGTCGGACTGCAGGACGAGCGAGGAGACGATTCCCGCGCCGGTGGCGGCCTTGAGGGTGATTTCGACGCGGCCGAACATGATGTAGAAGAGGGACATGAGCTGGGGTGCTTGTCCGGAGGCGGCGACCGTGAAGGTAACGCCGTCGGAGCCGTAGGTCGGGTTTCCGGACGAGGCGAAAGAGTTGACGGCCCCTTGTGTGAAGTCGACGTGGATGGCCATGCCGAGGGCCGTATCAGCGGGACATGATGCTTGAGGGAAACGTTAGATTGGGTGACTTTGAGGCGTTTTCTTGTGGGACAACTTGACTTACTTGACTGGAGGGGGTTGCACGACGAATATGTCTGGGCTGATGTTGTCGCCAGCACCGCCGTTGCGGCTGCTGCTACTCTTCCTGAGAAGAGCATTGTGTAGAAATGTGTGAGGTGTCACAGAACCGCGTCTGTTCCCAGCGAGGAGAGAAGCTTCCTTGAGGCGAGAAGGAAACAAAGAAGCTCCCTCACTCTGTCACTTGAAGAGATTCTCTCGAGTTGAACCACCGACAGAATGGATGCCCAGCCAAGACGTTAGGAGGAATTGGCGACGTCACAGGGAAGGCGGGCCAGGATCCGTGTAAGCCCGTGACACGTCGGACTCGGTTGGTACGACGGTGAAGAGTACGGTATGAATGGACGGGCGGAAAAGCAAAAGGAGCAGCAGCACATGTACGTGTGCATGCCGCGATGGAACGGGCAGCGGTGAATGGGTTATATGGGCGACATGGTCTTCAACACCTGTCCAGCCACTGGCAGGTGCAGTAGCGTCATCAGGCCGTGCAAGGCTCTTTGCTTTTGCGCCCAACCCATGTCGACGTAGCATATGTGTGCCATGGCCGGTGGGGGTGGGATTGTCCGAGATTGAAGGACGCGAAGGGTGAAAAAATCAAGATCTTGGCTTGTTATTCACTCTGGCAGGACGTAGGCCGTTTGAATGGCCTTGTTCCTCGGGGCCCTTGGGGCGCGAGGATGGGTATTGTTTGCGCCCATGTTCGTTGTCTGGTTAACTCGGATTGGCTCCCCGGGAGAGAAAAGTTGCGACGAGGGGGTTGGGAGGGGCGGTGATTGGTTGGATGGGTGGCATAAATCGGGTGGCTGGTGAAGACGGGTGGCTGGGGCCGCGCAAAATCCTTGGCGCTGGACCCGTCGACTCGGTGCGATGGACCCTGCCCTGCCTGCCCTGTTCCAATAGACGGGGACCCGAAGGGATGCCATCGACTTCTGAGATCCTCTTTGCGTCTCGACTGGGTGGTGCCAGTGTCCGGGGTTCATGACGCGTGCGTACGTCGATGGAGATGTGTCTCGGACAGGAGCACACGCGGCTACTGGTGACAATTCGTCGACAGTGCCGGGAGCCGATGATAGGTATGGTTTTTTGTCAAGATGCTGGCAGGTTGGGTCCTGTGAACCTGACAGCAGCCGCAGGCCCCCTTTGAGATTTGTAAACCTGAGCCGGTACGACTTGCGACGAAGCCAAGTGAGTTTACGCAAATAGATAAGGCCATGACTGTTTTTGAGAATCTCTTCTGTAGCTTTGACCGCCGCCAGTTCAAGCGCAAACGTCAAAGCCGCTAGCGCCTCGTTAGTTGACGTTACTCCAGGTTTACAACCTCCGCTTACATAGTATATTCATCAGTCTTCGGATCTGGCTGTCCCTGCCATCAGCTTCAGGTGAGTGGGTGCCGACACAAGCGGTCCGGATGGAGCCCGGCAAACAAACCTTCAAGCAAGGCCCACCCGGAGCCGAACAGCCGGACATTGACCACCTTTGTCCCCCGACCTCCACCTCCGGCATCGCCCAATCCTTCCCGCAGAGTTAGTGGTCTCCTCGACCTCTCACGCGCCCAAATGTCCCCAATTAGCAACCCCCTCACAGGCGGGCGGCGGTCAGGGACCCCTAATTACCTAAAAATTACCGGCGAATAGTAGCACAATGCGGGGGCATGGGTAGCTGCGGGTAGCTGCGGGCTGCCCCACCAACTGTCATCACCCGCTCATTGCTGAGTGTCAGAAACGCCTTATGCTCCTTTATCTCGACAGCTACGGATAACACACGACCGTCACACCCTCTTCCTAATCGTGGCATTGATTCTCTTGAGACATGCCAACACATCTTGGAACTTACCAAACTTTCATAAACACAATTGCTCGAAATTGAAAATCACCATGTACTCCAGGGCCGCCCGCCGAGGCCTCAATGGCTCCCTTTCACGGGCCTCACGTCCCTTATCAGCCTCCCCGTCATCTCAACTTACAGACCTCCGGCTCCGGAGCATGGCCCCTGTTGCTGCCCCCGTGACACACGTCTCCTCCTCTCGACGGCCTTTCAACTCGAAATCTGGCGATAGGTCAGTCGCAGATGCAGTCCCGGTCGAGAGGCAAGCCCATTTTGAGAAGCGCCAGGAGCCTTCGCCCTTCGATGGCGTCCGGGAACGGAGGCGCAAGGCCGGCAAGCTGATAGCAGGCGTCGCCGCGGCTTCGGATAGTGACATGTTCAAGGCACCTGTATTGCAAACCTCCTGTCCCAATCTCACATTCAAGCGTAATACTGACCTTATTCGCAGGCGGTGGGCAAACCCAAAGCAAAGAGATGGGATAGTGAGCACTACCTCCCTTGCCCACAGTGAGCCCCTCACTCACAACCTCTCCAGGTCACCTCTCAGCAGAGTCTCTATCACGGCACCCCTGCTCCCTGAAGCAGGCGGCCCGCCACCTCAAGAAGCCGGGCCTCATCTCCCTCGGCGGCGGCCTGCCGTCGAGCGCCTACTTCCCCATCGCCGAGCTCTCCCTCCGCGTCCCCACGGCCCCGCACTTCTCCGAGGCGGAGACCATCTCCTCGGGCCAGGTCCTCACCGTCGGCAAGTACGACACCCGCGACCCGGAGAAGGACGCCGAGTACGACCTCTCCATCGCGCTCAACTACACCCAGTCCACCGGCTCCGCGCAGATGATGCGCTTCGTCACTGAGCACACCGAGCTCGTGTACAACCCGCCCTACGCCGACTGGCAGTGCTGCCAGACCGTCGGCAGCACCGGCGCCCTCGAGCAGACGCTGCGCATGTTCTGCGACAAGGACCGGAACGACAGCGTCCTGACCGAGGAGTACAGCTTCTCCACCGCCCTCGAGACCATCGCCCCGCTCGGCGTCAAGGCCGTCGGCGTGCCCATCGACGCGGAGGGCCTCCTCCCGGAGGCCATGGACGAGATCCTCACGAACTGGGACCCGGCCGCCCGCGACGGCCGCAGGAAACCGCACCTGCTCTACACCGTGCCTTCAGGCCAGAACCCCACCGGCGCGACGCAGTCCGCCGCCCGCCGCAAGGCCATCTACGCCGTCGCCCAGAAGCACGACATCTACATCATCGAGGACGAGCCGTACTACTTCCTCCAGATGCAGCCCTACACCGGCCCCGATGCCCCCGCGGCCCCGCCCCCGGCGTCCGTCGACGAGTTCCTCAAGACCCTCATCCCGTCCCTGCTGAGCATGGACACCGACGGCCGCGTGCTGCGCATGGATTCCTTCTCCAAGGTCCTCGTGCCCGGGTCGCGGCTCGGATGGGTGACGGCGTCGGCCCAGGTCATCGAGCGCTACATCCGCCACGCCGAGGTCGCGAACCAGGGCCCCGCGGGCCTCTCGCAGATTGCGGTCTGGAAGCTTCTCGACGATACCTGGGGCCACGAGGGATATCTGCAGTGGCTGATGAACCTGCGCATGGAGTACACCAAGCGCCGCGACTGGCTGCTCGCCGCGTGCGAGAAGCACCTGCCAAAGGACGTCGTCAGCTGGACGCCGCCTGCCGCCGGCATGTTTGTGAGTTACCTTTCCCCTGCCCCTGTGTGAAGATTCGCAGAGAACAAGAAGCTGACTCCGATCTGTAGTTGTGGCTTACGGTAGACCAATCCCGTCACCCCGACGTCTCCTCGCGCCCTCTCCTTGAGATCGAGGAGGAGATCTTCGACTCTTGCATCGACAAGGGTGTCCTCTGCGCCAGAGGCTCCTGGTTCCGCACCGAGCAGGACACGCCGTTGAAGGACCTCTTCTTCCGCGCCACGTTCGCCTCGGCCAGCGAGGAGGACATGGACAAGGCTATCCAGCGTCTGGGCGCCGCCATCCGGGAGAGTTTCCGTCTTTGAAGCGTTTTGTTTCCTTCTTTGAAGCGTTTTGTTTCCTCATTGCACTTTGCGGTTTGACTTAGGTTTGGATTTTCAAAGCATACGGCTGAGTAGATGAGCATTTGGGTTTTGCATAGGCACGGACGGGTTATGAACACTGTATCCAGCGGTGTGACGGTCGGCAGTAAAGTTGGTCGAGGATGGGTAGCATGAGACACGCAGATGGTAGCAGACTAAGAGAGAATGTCAACGAGAGGACCATTCCCTCGTCAAGCATATATACAACGACCGATTCTTCCGCTATTCCTCTGCGAAGTGCGCGCCGCCCCAAGGAAAATTCCCGCCGTACTAATGCCAAGGCATCCTAATCACAGTACGCTTCCCAACACCTATTCGAGTAAGGCTGCCTGATATGCAGTCAGCCCATGGGAAGTAGGCCAATCATTGTGCCTCCCATATCTCCCCGCTATACCAATCAGGCTACCCAAACGACACCATCCTGTTCGTTTGGTTGCCAAGCACGCTGACCCCTTGGCGCGAGGGTTCTGCTTCACGGCCATGATAAGGCTACGCTTATTTCAACCTCTCGCCCATCCTATCCTGGATCTGCCCATTTCTTATTACACCACGTAAAATAATAGATCGTGAGACCCGTCCTTCCAATAAGTCCTCCCGTGCTTCCGATTCATCTACCCACACCTTACTCGTTCTTGCCCTTGTAGAAAGCGACCTTGACTCCTTCGCCAGGCTGAAGCACAATCTCCGCCTTCAGTAGGGGCTTCCCGCCATCGATCTCGTCCATGAAGCTCTCCACACGCTCGAATCTCTGGAACAGCCTGCACAGGGTGTACCCCATCTCCGTCAACGCAAACTGCTGCCCGATGCAGATTCTCGGCCCGCCGTTGAAGGGAACGTATGTCCACGGCTTCGGCTGCCAGTGATACCACCGCTCAGGCGAGAACTCGTTCGGGTGCGCAAACTTCTCGGAGACTGGCGGGTACAGGTCCTCGCGTCGCTGCATCAGCAACGTCGAGTATCCGATCGGCGTGTCCTTGCACACGGCCAGCGGCAAGGTACCGTCCGGTCCGCCGCCGACAGGCAGCGTCGTGTCCTTGAGCGCCAGGCGCACGTTGAAGGGGACCACGGGATACAGACGCAGCGTCTCGTTCATGACGTTCTGCAGGTACTTCATGCTCTTCAGGTCGGCGTACGTCGGCTCGCGGTTGAGCCCGACCTGCTCAATGATCTCAGCCCGTAGCTTGCGTACGACCTCCGGGTGACGGCCCAGCTCGTAGATTGTCCACGACAACGTTGAGGCAGTGGTGTCGCGGCCGGCGAGCAAGACGGCGACGAGCTGGTCGCGAAGGACGGTGCGGTCGCGGGTGAAGCTGGCGAGTTCGTGGAGGAAGGTGTACCCCTGGTCGGATTTCGACTTGGAGGCGAGCTCCTCGGGGGAGAGGCGCAGCGCGCGCTCGATGAACTTGTTGACGAAGCCGTTGATCACCTTGAGACCCGCGCGGAAGGTGAAGAGGGGGACGAAAGGCTTGAGTTTGGCGGCGCGAGCGAGGATGTTCTGGACTCGCTGGACTTCGTTGAAGGCCTCAGCGAACTCTTGCTTGATGGTCCTGGACTGGTGTAAGTCTTTGGGCAGTCAATAAGCTAATAATGCAGGAACCTACGTGAGAGACTTGACATCCTCGCCCAACAGGAAGTCCGTTGCTACGTCGAGGGTGTAGCGGAAGAACAGTTCCGAAATGTCCATCACCTTTCCATCGGCATCCATGTTGACCACCTGGTCCTCGCCGTCGAGAGCCCCGCCGTTGGCGATGGTCTTGAACAGCGTCTGGATGTGCGCTTCGAAGCATTGCAAGTCGCTAACGCGGTCCTTTACGAACTGCGGGCGGATGAGCTGTCTACTGGCGTGCCACTGGTCGCCGTCGGTGGTGAAGATGCTGTCGCCCAAGAACTCGTGCCACTCCCGGTGGAACGGCTCGCCCTTGCCGTAGTCGGAGAACTGCGTCGCGAGAATGGCCTTGATGTTCTCCGGCTCGGCGGTGAAGACGATGCGCAAGCCCAGGATTCTCTTCTCACCAGTCCATCCCTTGACCTTGGAGAGCATGTCCAGCCAAAAGTCGACGTTTTTGTGCGACATGGCGCCGCGAACGGCCTTGAAAACGAAGTCGATGCCTGGGAAGTGTCAGTGTCATCGACCTTTTCTTGGCAGGCTGAATGCCATCCTCAACCTTGTATCTCGTTGCTGAACATCCCGAACGGGCGTAACAGAAAAGAGTACCTACCACCGGGGAGATGGGCATTGAGCGACTGTCCGCGCGTGCCGGGCGCCAGACGGCGGAGGCGTATGGACTCATCGAAGCGTTTGACGGCGACCCATAACCACCATGCTACAACGGCAAAGACGATGACGGATTTGACGGTGATGTACTCGAGCACTACCTCGACCAAGCCCATGATGACAGGCGGATAGTACCAAATCTCTAGGATGTATGGTTTGGCGGCGAACTAGGCTGATATCGAGAAACAGAGTCTCATCCACGGACGAAATGGGACCGTGTGGTGTCTCGGAAGGAATCAAGCAACGGCGTCTGTAAGCTGACTGTGAAGAATGGTACGGGAGAAGATGTGCTGCAGTCTGCTCAGCGCTGTGAAAGGCAACAAAAAGAGTCAGGCCGCCCGAGTGAATTGAGAATAAGAAAATTGGGTATATGATATCACGAGGGACGGGAACGGAATCGGGATGAATTTCCAGGCCGCACAGGAAGGGGGGATAGAGACAAAAGGGAAAACGTCTGATATATGGGCGCAAGCTAAGAGGATCAACGGCAGAGGGTAGGTGTGTATCGAATAAGCTAAAAAGCTGAAATGCAAGCAGCCCAGCAGGTCCAGAGACTTACCTTATTCGATCCCCGCTTGAGGCCTGGTCCCTGTTCCGCACTTGGAGTTCGGTTGCGTTATCCTCGGAACGCGGGTAGAGACGCTACCAAAGCAGGACAGGGCAGGGCACTTCTGCTAGGTAAATGAAGGGCAGATTATTGGTCTTTTGTGTTGTTGTAGACTTGAAGAATGGGCCCAGAAGAGGACCCAGAAGCAGCTATCCATCGCTCGGCGGGCAGCTAGAGCTACCTTGGAGCAATTGGAAATCGAATCATGGGGTGCCCACCCACCGTCGTTGTCCGTCCGCCGAAACACTTGCCCTTCTGCGTGTTAGCGGCCGTGTGAAGCCACATGGCAGGGTAGGTACCTGGGCCACCACTGCGTCTCTGCTTTTGTTCTCCCTCGCGTCTCGTCTTGCCCATGTGTTCTGCTCCCCTTTGCGCCGACGCTGTGCGCTGAATGTATCACGGGGTGGGTAGAATTGGTGGTGCGTCCGCTCTGCACGTACATTGCATCGCCTTGCCCTGTCTTGTGCTGATCTGCACGGCATACTTACATGCGAGGCGGTGTACTTTTCCCTGACGCTACCGTAGACCACGCGCGAGACAGCGGTGGCCGCTTAGTTACACAAGGGCTCTGTTTCGTCAGTGAAGATATCACACTGGGCAGTGTGTTCCCGACGTCCGTATCCCTGGGAATGGTCTCAGAGAGGCGGTACCGAGGACGACATTGCGGAGAGGGAAAGGACCCCGGGTAGACGTCAACGCCGTCGGGGACGGAGTTGGAGAGTGATTGGAGGACTGGAGAGCCGCGGGGAGCCGTTCTCCTAGGGCTTGACCTTGTTCGCAAAGGAACCCCTCCAATGTGATAACGCATGTCTTGTCGTGTTTGCTCGTCTGGGCGCCAGAATCAAGCGACGCCGGGCCAGCAAACGGGCAAAACGGCCAATGAAGCAGCAGCGAGAAACGCGAGGGGGTTGCAAGGTCTGCAAGGTACATGCCTTTGCCGAGGTGCAACGAGTTGTGTCGACGGGCATGTGGTGGGCTTTACGAACGAACCTTCCAAGCAGTTGCAGATGGGATGCTCTTTTGCAACAGAACGAGACAAGTAATTGGACGGAAGGCGAGCTGGAAACCAAAGATCCAATTCGAAGCTTCGGTTCTGGGGTGGCAGAGATGGACAGTGCGCGTACTGTCATTCACTACGTCTGGTCAATTCGTTAAAGGCATCTTCCCACCGACACTGGAGGCTTGGAGACTGAGGTGGCCCGAGAGAGACAGCGCCTAAGGCATCGCAATGACAAGACTCAGCACTCTTATTAGCGGTATCCACACAGTACGAATAATCTGCCACCTCCACGATCTGAATACCCAGAAAGGGAATTTTGCTGCCGCCCACCCTGGTTCCCCCGCAATTGAAGCTCTGCCCTCCCCCGCTAGCAGCTCCGCCCCTCCCGGCCGGGTTGACGCCTCCGACCCATCCGCACCTACGGCGATGCGTGCGCCGCACTGCAGCATATCACTGCCGGACCATGTCGAAACAACTCGTCGTCTAAAACTGTTCGGGATTGGAGTCAAGAGATTCAGTCCGCCATGTTCACAGCTTGAAGCTTCCTCATCACCGTGCATCGTTCTTCCTGTGGACCCTTTCTTCGGGGCATGTACCTTGCTGTCGATCCGCTCGCACGAGACCCTTCTTGCACAACTCATGAGTCCAGCGCATCCTCCGAATGCGTTTTGACGGCATCGTTCTTCCGCGCGGCAACGTCCCGCAGGACCTCCGGACGAACCTTTGATCCGACGAGCAACGGGCAACGGGCAACGGGAGACGGGAGACGGGAGACGGGGGCGGCGCGAGTCACACTGGAGGGACCGCCTCTACAACGTTCCGCATCGAATGCTGATTAAGACTGCCAATATCTATCCTCTAGCGCCAACTCTGTTCGGTCATGAAAATGTATTTTCATTGGCCAGCGAGGTCGTAACGCGGCCTGCACTCTAGGTTCATGTCAAGACTAGGGTCGTGACTGTTGTGCAACTCGTCCGTGGAGTCAGTAAGCATCAGGCTCCAGACCCCTCATGCAATGGTGTAGGCGCATTCCGTTGCGTTTCCTTGAGTGCAGAATGTCATCTGCACCGGTTCCGACCTGACCCCGCGAGCAACCATTCGCTCTCTGAACTCGGCCAGCCTCGGTGCCGCGTCGTACTGGCTTCTGTTCTGCCCCGAGGCATCCTGCCGGCCTGACCACAGAACCTCTCCAGCCGCGCTGGCCCTGGGCCATAGAATGCCGTCGATGCTGACGGAATCGATCGACTCGCTCCACGCTGCCACCTCACCACCGAGCACCAACTTGGCCTGCGCTTCCGTCAGGTTCGCTCTGGGATCGTGTGAGTAGGCAAGTCGCCATCCCTTTGCCGGCGTGCACCAGTCGTTGAATGGGTAGAACTGCTCGAAAGCTGCCCCGTTATCAAAGTTCATCCAGTGGCCTCGCCCGCAGTCAAGATACTGTCAAGGTCAGTCAACAGTCCTTCAGTTGGCACTAAGACGGAATGAAACTTACCCAGAGGTTGTAGTTGCTGTCAATCACCTTGTGGCCCTGGCTCGTGAGGTTCTTTACAGCATCATTTCCCAGCCATGATTGGATGACTACGTCGTCGCCCAGAGTGATGTTCCATTCGAGCGCCATCTCCTCCCAAACGAACGGAACGAGGCCGTGCTTGCGAATTCGGGCGTGGTTCTTGTCCATGAACTTCTGCAAGAGCGGCTGCAGGATCTCGGTCGAGTTGGACTTGACACCGTCGTCCAGCATTGAATCATTCTTGTTCAACTCATCGCCCCCGGTATGGAAGTAGGCTGAGTACGGGTTTACTCTCGGCAGGAGGTCGTCAAACAGCTTGTCCAGGAAATCATCCACACGGGAGTCGTTCATCTTGAAAGCGCCACAAGGCGGCTCCAAGCACCACCACTGGTACGGCTTCTCGTTGTAAGCCACGATGAGCTCCGGGTATGCGAAAGATACTGAGCCAATGTGTCCGGGCATGTCGATCTCGATGATGGGCTCGATTCCGCGGTGAACTGCGTACTCTTGAATCTTCGCCAGGTCCGCGGGGGTATATGAGAGACCCTTTTGGTAAGCACCTTTGGCGGACAGATCAGGCATCGCTGGGATGTCAAGTGGCCACGACTGTGAATCTGTGATGTGGATGTGAATGCGGTTGAGTTTGTTCCACGACATGGCGTCAATGACTCTCAAAACGTCCTCCACAGGATACCAGTTTCGAGCCACATCGATAAGAATTCCACGATGAGAGTAGACCGGTTCATCCTCGACGGAGATTGGCGCCAATGGAGTGTACCATGAAGTCCCGGAAGTGTGCTTGTAGAAAAGCTGCGAAAAGGTCTCGAGACCTCTAAGTACGCCGATCGAAGACTTGGCCTCGATGGTAGCCGCGCCGTCTTCCGTGATGTTGAGTGAGTACGACTCGTCGACCTCGCCGGCGAGAGGCTTGAATGCGCTCGCCTTGTCCTCGCCCGTTTGTGTGATCTTCAACGACGTAACCGCTTTCTTGTCCGCCGCATTGACATCGGGCTCGAATTGGCTATTCTTGGGGTGGAACTTCCATGGAACAAAGTTTTGCTGGAAAATTGCACCCATGGCCCGCGAAACGCCGCCTTGGACAATATCCTTGCTGTTGAAGGTCGAACCTGGGGCTGGGCTGTACCCGTAAGTGTAGGGAAGCTGCATGTTAAACAATTTCTCAGTATCCTGTGCTTTGTAATGGGAAGCAGAATTAGAACAAGGAAGCCAGCGTACAGATCCCCCATTGTATGTGATTTCCAGCGTTTGGCTGATGAACAGGGCATTCGAGCCGGTCGAGAGTTTCTTGGGTGCTGGCCAGACACTGGCGCTGACCTGGCTGAAGGCGAGAGATAGGGATACGAGGACGAGTGGGGGTAACATGATGGGCAGTGGGAATGAAAAGGGCGGGCAATGGTGGATATTAACGACAGAAAGAACCCCGGATAATCCGTTTATTGACCACCAGACTCTGGGTCAGAGCTGGTGTTTATAAAAACCCGTTGCACGAAGCAAAACTTGGCCCAGACCCTTTGGAGGTACGCTTCTTAGCCACCCACACAGCAGGCTGCGTCTCGTGCAACCTTGAGGTGCGGTGACCAAGAACCAGACGAAAAAGAAGATGGTCTGCGCCTCGTAGCTGGACAGAAATGCAGGCTGAGGCAAGACTGGTGGTTGGGAGCAAAACCAGACGAGCGGTAGCGTACTGTGATAGGCCGATTGGGGTTCACGTCGCAACGTTACGTCAAAGTTCAAGGTCGACTCCGGTCCGCTCGACAACCAGCGCTACTGCTGATGACGGAGGGGCTGAGAGCTTTTGTACGGGATCCTCGAGGATGGGGCCAGTCTGACGGGTGCTGAAAAAAGAAAATCGACAGTCCCTAGCAGGCAGACAAGAGGGTCTTATATCAGGCAAGGGCTGCAATCTGCAGGGCCGGGTAGGACGAATGGTACGATGCAATATGCTGATCTATCCCAGCGTCCGGCCGTGGTGATCCAG